ATTTGGGAGTGGGCTTTTGGCCTGGCCAGGAGGCAGTCGAGTGGCTGTGGAATTGGGAACATTCCGGCGACAAGCGCAATCAGCGCAATAGCACTGGAGCACAAGCAGAAGAACAAGGCAGTCGCTGGCAGGCTCCGGATATTTGACCTTCATTGAGGGATGCACTGCGGGAATTTATAGGATACTTTTAAAAGAAAATAAAAGCCATTTACGGAAAACCCTATTCTGAAAAAGGTTGAACACTCTAGAGAATTTCAAGAAATAGAGAATTTCTAGAAGAGAATTTCTAGAAGAAATTCAAAATAAAGTTATTAAAGAAAACATATTTTAAAAGAACCTTTAACTCTCTAGAAAATTCTATACCTTTTCCTGAATAACTCTAAAGCTTGTTAGTAATTTCTCTCCGTGTAGCGTTCATTTAGGGGTTGAGACTGGATGCGGTCGCTTGGATAGTCAAGGCACGTTTGTCATTGGTAATTTCGAGCATGTCATAATGATAACTCAAACAAACGGGCCAACATATGCACGAGTATGGGGTGAAGGCAGAAGGAGATGCAAAGAGCCAAATGTTTGTTTATAATTTATTTTTAGACCAAAAGTCCTGACCTCTTCCAGCGAACTCAGCTATTAGGCTAAGACCTGTGCAAGTCCTTAGCCTCACGTAGCTCACTTCAAGTAATTGATAAAAGGAAAACCGATGGGGAAAAATAAAAGGAGGAGCCACCGCCACCAGTCGGCAAAAAACAATTCCTCGGGCTGTGGCCGGAAAATGAAATTAAATTCCTGGAAAAGTAACTTTGAAGTGGTGCCGTTCGGCCAACAAATTGTCATACACCGTTCAGCAATATATTTTTATTAAAAAATCTTACATAATCCGCTCCAGTTCCAAGGGGTAAAAGCAGAAGCAGAAAGACGAGGCTGTGTAATAAGTTAGCCGCAAAAGAGATTTATGATGGGAACTAACTGGCGACGCCTTTTGCTCGCGCATACAATTTCAATATTTCTTCATCAGTCTTAACAAAGTGAAGGAGGAAAAGGCGTCTGGGGTTTCTCTTAGCCAGTGGAAGTAAATTGAAAATCTTGCTCAAGTAGCTGACAGCATTTTGTAGCTGGCTTCTCCTGCTTCGTTTCCCTTTTTTTTTTTTTTTTTGTGTCTGCGGATGCGTTCAAATTGGAAATGCGATACGCAGCAAAAAGCTTGGGGAGTTGGCACGGCACGAGAGAATAGAAAGTCGCTCATACGCCCCGTGGTCGGCTGGTCTTTAATGTTTCGCTTAGCCATTAAACGCGAGTGGCAAATAAATAACACTTGCATTCGCGTCATAAAAGCTGACTTTAATTAAAGTCATTCGCTCGAACAGCATGCAATTAGATAGTAACTCCCACATTTCTCCCATTTGCCATCGAAAATACGTGTGGCTTAATAAATTGCTTTAACACCGCACAAAATTCAGTTCGGAAATCAATAAAAAGAGGAAAACAAGTTTTCAAATTGAGTTGGCTTTAATATGATTTTGGTAAATTTCCTTCGCAAATAGTTTGTGTTTTACCATTGAAATTCCATGAAAATTGTATAACTTTATATCTCATTATAAAGTCATAGCAATAAAATTGAATTAAACATTTCCCAGTTGTTTGCAATTAAATTGTGATATGTTAAATATGTTTTTAACTATTTCCATGCTCTTTTCGTGAATGCTAACTATTTTATTTGACTGCGGCGTAATAGTTGATCCCACCAGTTGTATAATATTAATGCCTTGCCATATTCGCCCCTCAAAGCTTGCCTTTTGCCGGCAGACAAATGAAAATCGTTTATGGCTGCCATTTGGATAACTTTTTTCCTCTCGGTGACCTTGAGTCCATGCATGAATACGCGTAGTTACAATATGCATACGTTCATATACAAATAAACTGCGTATATTAAAATATTGACTGCCAATAATAAATTGAGCAATAAAGCGCATATGTGGTCATATATACTATATATACTTTATATTTTTGCGAGTTTCAATTGCTCTACAGTTGAATTCTGTTTCCTTTAAATTCGTATCCCTTAATTTTAATCTAAGTGAGGTAGCAAAAATTTAAGTTTATCAGTTAGCTGCCTATTTTGTTGATAAGTTATCAAACATGTGTGAAACTTGAGCTCACCAAGTGCGTGGGGGTGGCTTCCTCCCCCCTCGATTTTCCCCCTACTCGTTCGCTGCTTACCAAGCTGATAATATAATTGAATACACGAGCCACATGTGATAATGAGATTTATTTATTTATTCAATTTAAAATGCCAGGGCTCACTCTTTGCGCTCTCGCACTCTTTGTTTTTCGCGTTATGTGGGACAAGTAACATAATTCACAGGCAAATGCTAAAAAGAATAATATTTTAGCATTTCCCCCTGCTATGGTGTTTATCCATTTCTTTGGTCAGCAACAGGTTATTGATCCAGGCTGGCAATTTAAGCTGAATGCAAATAGCATTTCGGTTGGTCCTTTTTGCCCAAGTCCGGTCCTTCACTAATCGACGTTGGCTATTTCATGACGCGCCAACGCCGCCGCCACCGCCGCCGCCTAATGGTAGTTTTTCCCGCCTCATCCAGCTTTTCCGCCCCTCGATGGCTTACGCCATCTTGCCCCGCTCTTATTTGCACCAACAACCAACACGAACAGAAAACACGAACACAAATGGAAACGGGGAAAATACAGATAGCCGGCGACGGGTACACAGACACCGATAAACACGTAGATATATATAGTATATGGCTTTGTTATCTGTTATCTGGCCCGCCTTTTGTGCCACTATCAACGGTGTCAGCCAAATGCAGACCAAGCCGAATTGAGTTTCGCACAAATGGTGCACCTAAAAAAAATTAAATCAAAATGATATTCAAAAAAATTAAAGAAATTTGATGTTAGTGTTATTTTGTACATTTATATTTATAACTTATAATATTTGTAGATTGTGTATTACTTAAAGATAAAAATGATTATTTATTTAAAACTTATATTAACAGAAATCTAAACATTATTCAACTAACTCTAACTAAGTCAATTTTATTTTTGAAAACAAACCAACCTTCTAATAAATGGAAAATGTTGTGTTATTTTTTTTTGTGTGTATGGCGTGCGCCGTTAATGAACATCGTTTGCTTATCCAGACTGACCCCCACAATTCCCCTCCCCCCTCTTTTCATCAGAAAGCCTTTACCTATGCTATTGACATAATGTAAGCCACCGAAGTCTGTTTCTGCGAGAGTACTTTTTGTTTCCCATTCGCTCCCTTGCTCTCGTTGGCATAAAAATAGTTTTAGTCACTTTTTTTTTGTTTAGTCCTCTCTCTCTCCTTTGGCTACCAGTTGCTAGGTGTACAAAGATAGAAATGCAAAACGGATGGCGAAAAATAAGGAGAAGCCGCAACGGTGCGTATGGTTGATGGAGAGGCAACACTGCGTATGAGCAATGTAGCTTATGAATTTGATCAGAACAAGCTTTAATTTACTATTGAAGCATCAAAGGATTTCAATAGTATGCAATAAAGCAATGCTTACAATGAAATTTATTGGGAATGGATTTTTGTAATATCATTTCTTTTCTTTTTATGATTTATTCTTTAACAAATGTTTTTCCCAGTATATGCTAATATCCTCAAAGCAGTGTCAGGAAAATCAACAGTTTGAACACTCAAATGCAATTTGGCCTGTCAGCAATTTACTTGCAGTTTTTTTCATTGTCTATTCAAATGCCAACAAAAGAAGAAGTGAAACTATGTATTCAGTTGCAAGTGCTGCAGTTCTTTCACACCCTTCACTTCACAGCTGCCAAACGCATCATGATGGTTTTTCATTGTTGCAAAACGGAAATTAAATCATTTCCGCTGTCAACTATCGCTGGCCCTTGTCATGCAACAGCTGTCATATGAAAGAGTCATGAAAACTACGTGAGCGATTGAAACCAAATCGGTGAAGATATACTCAAGTTCTCGTGGCAAGTTGCTGTCACAAAAATGCAACACCACAATTGTCAAACTATCTAAAATTGAATGTTTACGGAGGAAGAGTTGCAATATGAGAAAATGATAGAAAAATGATGGTGAAAAGCGAATGAAAAGTGGGAGGCTAAAAGTAGACAAATATGGAATTCAATGTCAACTTAATACAACATTTTCATAAATAAATATAAATGTAAAATTGTGTGGAAACGTTCTTCAATTTTAAAACATTTGTTTCAAGGTACATAAAATATTTTTTATTAGCATATTAAAGAAATATTCAAACCGACAAGCTGCATGAATTTATTTCATTTCCACCCCTTGTACAAATACTTGTGATTAAAAGTACTTTTGACACAAACATTGCAAGGATAATGAATACATTTTCGCTCGCAAATTAAATGGAATCCAAAGTGCTTTTTTCAATTACTTAATAAATACCTATTCGCAATTAAAATCTGCTTGACCGCAGGCCACAACAATCCTTTCAGAGCATTCCCGGCCATTTATCCTCTTTATCCTCCACTCTCGTCGCATTTTCCCCTACCATTGTTTGCCATTGGCTTTTGAGTATTGTTGACGTTTTCAGCGATGGCAGGCGCTTTGGTCATGTTTATTTTACTTTACTGTTATTTTACTATGGCCTACGTGTGTTTGGTGTTGGTGCACCGTCGTCCCTTTTTCCTCGCATCTCGAATTTCCCGTGACATTTCGGAGTCTTGTTTGTTCACCAATTGGCGGCCTGTCTGTCGACCTCCCCTCGTCTCAGCCACTCAACTGTTGGCGACCCCGAAAGCGTTAATTGAATTGCCTCTCTCCATCGCAACACATGGGAAAACGTCAGCGTTAAGCTTTAATAACTGCCAGGGGAAAATAAGATAAAACTGAAGGGTAGCCAGGAAGCTCTCGAGTTACTCTGCGGGAATAGTTGGGCACAAAAACTTTTGGTCTACAAAGTTTACGCCGAGCACGGGCATAAACATAAATAAATATATTCAAAACAAAACTTCAACAGGTCTCGACGAAACTTTTCCCTCTCGCTAACTAAATAATTGACAAGGCAAATAAGTTATTATGAAAGTGAAACAGAGTGAAAACAAAAGCAAGAGCGATCGCAACCAAAGTGTGCAAATTAATCCAAAATTCGACAATTTCAATTGGCTGACAACAACCTGCGGCCTTTTGGCGGCAGTAAAATCAACAAAATTGATTCCACAACAGCAACAACAACTTCAACAGCAGCCAAGAAATACAATTTACGTTACGCAGCGGAGTTGCTCAAGTTTGACAAAATTCAATTCATTAAAACGGAGGGTTTAACATTTGCATTGCTGGCGGGCCCCATGGGCCAAGCGGCAAGTATGTGTCGATTTCGTGGTTGTCGCTACAAAAACAAAACCAAAAGCAGCAAGCAACATCAGCAGCAGCAACAGCAACAGCAACAGCAACAACAACAACTACAGTATCAGCAACAACAACAACAAACACCCACCCATAGTCCTCAGATTCAACATCATTCTGAGATAATACCAGCTACAACAGGTGAGAAAAGTGGCCAAGAAAGAAAAGTTTTTGTTCGGTATTTGCATAAATATTTTGTCACACAAACTTCAGGGCAAACAAAACCAACAGAAAACAGAAAAGAGCAAAGAGACCAAGGAACCGAAAGAATCGAAAGAACAACAGTGCTTATTTCATACCCAGAAGCTTTTCCTCTTTTCCTATTTTCCCCAACCGACTTCCGTTTTTCCGCCTTTCAGCTGCACACAACATCGATCCGAGTGGCAGCAAAAAATGGTTCTCTTTTGCACATTTGCCAACTTTCAATTTGCATTTGGCTGCACTCAAAAGCAACAATGCCATTTACACACTGCTTCGTGTATGCAAGCGAGTGAATGCAGATATATGGTGTTGTAAGGCCGAATAATACCCTATTTTATTGGGATGCTGTCGAATATTTGAATTCTGGTGGTTATTATTAATAGTGAAAACCAATCACTTATAATCTTAATCCTATTTTATATACTTGCTTAACTTTATATCCAATATAATATGTTAAGCACTTGTTGACTGTGAACATTAAATAAACATAAATCAACCCTTATGAAAATAAAATGAAAACGCCTCAGTTAAGCCAACAAAATATAATACAAAAATCCTTCACAATCGCAGCGCACAATGCTTATCAAATTAATGCCAACCCCAAAGAGTATTAAATTTGTTATCGTATCTCAGCCAACTCTTGATCCTTGCCTTTGCCTGCTAAAAGTAAAATTCCATTACAAATGTTGTATAAAAATTTGCCATTCGCCTGACTCACATGAAGGGGAGAAGAAAGAGGGGGGTTTCAGGGGGGAAAGGGAATTGGAAGGGGCACAAGTAGGTTGGAGGGGCCATATGAATGTCTTACATAAAGCTGACGCATCAAACCGCAGCTAAGTGTTGGCGGCAGCGGGGAAAGTGGGAAAACTGGTGGGTGGTAGTGGGTGGTGGGTGGCACAAACACCTCCCACACGACTCTGTCAACTTGTCATTTGACTTCGAGTGCAGGAAATAGCCAAAGGAATTCAGAAGAGTGGCGGGCGGCAGTGGAGTGGAGTGAGAAGAAAAGTGCCTGTGCTCTGTGCCAAATGTTTTGCAGCAGCTTAAGCATGTTGCATGTTGGATGTGTGCAAGGCAAATGCAGCTTAAAAGATTAAATTCCCACCCCCTCTCACAAAAGGGTGCACAACATGGCATCATGGCATGTGTGTGTGTGCTACTCTATCCTTGCTATATAAATTCCCCATTGCAACACTAAGTAGACGACTTCAAACTTATTGGCAAGCTTAAAAGCAAAAGACCAACGAAAAGTATCTGGAACTCGAGAGCGGGAAGCCTCCCAGATGCTTAACATGGAAATTTATGTCTGCACAGGGAAATTGCTAAGGATACAAATCATGGGGGAAAAGCTGAAATTAATACTAGAGTGAATATTAAATGGCAAAGCGAAAGTGGCCGCGGGAAAAGTATGATCAAATAAATTCCAATAAAACTTTGACTGCCATAAACTCCAATAAATTTTATAATGGAAAATATCTTTTAAGGCAAACTTAACTTATAAAGAACTCTTTATGAAAAATGTGTATACTAAAGTTTAGCACTTGAATTTCTTTATTTTAAACCTAAAAGCAAACACAGCACAAATGCTTCCTTATTTACTTTTCCTAGAAATTGAATACTCTTAACGTAATCAAGCAAACCGAATATCCTTGGATTCCTTTATATACCGGCTTAACCCGAAACTCAAATTGTCAAGCGTCAGGAACAAGTTGTTTGTTTATTTCTTTTGTGTGAGTCGAAAAGCAGCACATAAATCATATTTTCTACAGAATAAATAAGTCAGATACAAACAACAAAGCAGCAAAATGGGGAGAGGATGAGGGGAAAAAGGACCTCTTTCGCATCCTTGAGACACTCGTCAGTGGGTTACTCGTTGTCGTATTTATATCTATTTTTAGCACTTAATCAGGCGCTCAATGCTGCCATTAGAGACGCCAGCCACTCCCTCGAAAGCACATACGGAGTCAATATTTCACGGAAATTGCCAATATTTCCGGTTAATGTTAACTGAAACACTTTGGGGGCCTCCAACTGTCAATGTTATTTATTGCGTTGCGTATACGCCGCGTTCGCCATGTGAGCACTTGCAGCAGCTGTCTGTGTGTGTGTGTGTGTGTGTGTCTGTGTGCGTGTTAAAGTCTTTGCGAATTCCCTTAGAACTCGCTTTTTGACACTTAATTGCTCAAGGAGGAACCGAGACAGCAGCGAATTGATGAGCTGAAAAAGCAATTGAACAAATTTATGTGATTTGCACTCACAACCAAATTGTGGAAATTGAAAAGAAGAGAGCGAAAAAGCTGCAAAAAAGAAAGCCATGTCAGAATGTAGGAGGCGTTGGGGAGGGGCTTTTGTCGGGGGGCGTGGTCACGGTCACGTGCCGAGTGTGACTTCCCCTAAAGGATATGACCCATTTGCAATGTAAATGCTGCATGAAGCGCGAGAGAAATGGCAGAATGCTCATAAAAGTGTCAACACATGCAGCAGGCAAATTACACACTTGGCTTCAATTTGATGTTAAAAAAAGCGCTAAAGCCACAACAAATAAGAATGTTTTTTGTTTAAAGGAAAAAAAAATGCTGTTTAAATATTTAAGGTTCATAGGAACTATTTGAAAAAAGCATTCTGCATTTAAATGGGCATTTAATAGCTTTTCTTAAGTATTGTATTTATTAACTGATGCAAGAACTTTTAATAAATTGTTTGTATTTAATATGTACATATATCCTTAAAATAAATCTTTTGTTACCAGTATTCTTTCTTCAAATGTACAATTTTATTACGCCTGTGTAAAAATAGAAAACATGTCAGAAGCACACACTCGTAAATCGCAGCGAATTTAAAATGCTCACAAAACGAATTAAATATTTATATTTCCATTACTCCTTCCCCGTTGCAGGCCTGCATCTGCGGAGCATCGAGGAGCCAGCGACGACGCCGCTCCAGTTCCAGACCGCTGGCAGGATGAACGCGGAGCAGGGGGGGCACGGGGTACGGCGGCTACGGAACCAGCGAGCACTCGCTGCTCATCGCCACGCGCCACGCCGGTGTCCCCCTGCCCCTCGCCCAGCAGCAGCCACTCCCCGCCCACTATCAGACGGCCAACCACATTGGCGCCGCCCCCGCCACCTCCTCCTCCGCCTCCTCCAACGGAGGATCCTCCTCCTCCGCCGGCGGACTGCAGTCGCAGTCGGTGTTCCCGCCGCAGCATCCGCAGCAAACGCAGCAGCAGCAGCAGTATCAGGTGCAACAGCCGTACAACCAGTACCAGTACCAGCACCACTACCACCACCAGCCCACGTCGCCACAGCACCACCGGCCCTACGATCCGGAGCACGCCAGGATGGAGGCCTGGCTGGACGAGAATCAGGAATTTGTACAGGATTATTTTATAAGGTGAGTTCAGATTTTGCCAACTAAGATTGTAGTAACTGTGGGCAGATAAAAAATGAAACAGGAAACTTTACGAAGAATGTGGTTTATGTACTGAATAATAAAACAAAAAAATAATAATAATAAATAATAATAATAAATAATAATAATAAATAATAATAATAAAAATAATATAGGGCAAAAACGATTCCTTTTTGGGTTCCATAAACAAATTGTTTTGCTTATTAAATTCTTTGCCATAAAATAATTTTCGACCCCAACTTTAAACCCAACCATTTCGAATGAAAGGGGTAACCCGTCACCATCCCGAATCGCCAATCAATAGCTAGCTCCCTTATTAGCCAAGACAGGCTGGAAACTAACCGAATCCTTGTAGAGACATAAATTGCATCTGCCGACAAGCGTTTGCGATGAACCCATCGAGCCAATAATCTATTTTGCCCATCGAGCGGATAAATTCTTAAATTTGAAACTGCATTGTCAGTTGACCCTGTCGAATGGCAAACAGTCGGCCATATTTATGGGCGGGTGTGGTGATTGCGGGGATTTGCTTTTGGCCATAGGCGGGGACAGCTCGTTTCCGCTATAAACCGGAAATTGCCTTTGCCACACAGCAGGACATCTAGGCCAGGCCGGCAGCAAAAGCGGGTTAAAGGGACGTCCGTTGTCTATGACACATAATAAAAATCACTAACAACTAAAAGCATAAATTGGGCTTTATTTTCATGGTCGAGCAGGCCAACGTCCGCATTTCGTTTCGTCCTCGGCTTCATGGCTCCTCTGCTTTTTTCGCCTGCGGGGCGGTCATTAAACGAGGCTGAAAAAGGCTTCATTCCGTTGTGTGTGTGTGTGAGTGTGTGTTTGTACTTTGCATAAGAATATGCCGCATGTCCTAAACAGTTTAACCATTTTACTGGCCCATATCGTCGGTCTTTCATGTTCCCTTTCAAAAAAAAAAAGTTGCAAGTCTGTGTCATCAAAAGAACAAAATGTAATCTGCAAGCTTTAAAAATAAATTTAAATGCAATCATTCTGTTTTTTGTACTTAAATTAATTCAACTGATTAGTCAGTTAAATGTTAAATTCATAATTTGCAGCATAATTTATGTACATAATAATTTGCTTATAATTTATGTGACAATCAAATCAAAATCTTGATAATCACAAATATATTGAAAATTGTGTTGACCATATTTATGATTTTAAACTTAAACATTTTATTTTATCAGTTCCTGTTATTAATTAATTTAATAAATACACTGATAGAATGCTTAAATATTCGACTCTTTTATCCTTTATTCTTCCCCACTCGACTTTCCAAAGAGTTGTGCGCTGTGATTGCTCGTTGTTTGTTGGGGTTTGCTGTTGGTTTTATGCCAAAAGCGCGTGCCCCATAAGGACACATGGTGTGGCAGAGAGCAGGAGCATCCGATGTGGGGCAGCCTCGCCGCCTGAATATTTATGAGTTGGCATTTTATTAGAGAAATTTATGCGGCACATGCATATAGAACGCGTCGCCCAATGCGTCAGTCGACCATCGGCGATTCATTTGCGATTTTTTAATAAGATTTTAATGTGTTTACTAACTGAATTTTTGGCCTTATTTCCCTTCCCGCAGGAAAGCCACACGTCAGACGGTGGACGCCTGGCTGGTCTCACATGCCACCTCCGCGGGCAACGACGTGGTCAGCAGCACCTCCCCCACCCACCCCAATGGGCAGACCTCCTCCTCGAGGGGCGGATCCGGAGCCACCACACCAGTGCGGTAAGCAGTCAAATCGGGGTTGATCCGATTTAATATTGAAAGTAATTTGTCTGGTTTAATGCGAGCATAATCTACAAAAGAAAGATTGTGTTTATTTTCCGAATTTTTAAAAAAAGTAGAAGAACAAAAATTCAATTAAAAAAAAACAAACCGACAAATTTATAATAAATAATAAACCTGAGACAAATTAATAATAATATTAATATAATATTAATATTAATATTAAATTCCAATTAATTATTACTATTAAATATGAAATATGTATATGTAATTTAAAATTTTTTAATTTCTCTATTGAAATGTTCTTGGTTTTAAATAATTTCCCTTTCCTTATAGAAAAATCTCTGCTCACGAGTTTGAGCGCGGTGGTTTGCTGAAGCCGATTGTCAATACCATCGACGGCACGCCCACATTTTTGAGCATTGGTCCGCCGTTGGACAACGGGGGCGTGGGCGGCAGCTGCGGCAACCTGCAGAACGTCGGCGGCGTCGTGGCGGGACAGTATCAGTATCACCACCAGCAGCACCACCACAACCATCCGCATCTGCACCACAGCCAGCACAGTCATTATCAGGCGGGCGGAGCCGTTGGCAGCAGCAGCTTGGGCAGCTCCACTGGCGGCGGAGGAGCGGGAAGTGCCCCCGGAATGGGTGGCACTGGAGGAGCCGGAAATGGACATCAATATCAATATTATCATTGCCACCAGCGACCGCAGCGGTTGTCGCGCAACGAGCTCAAGCAGCTCGATGAGAAGGAGTTGATTTTCGAACTGGTAAGAGAAGAAATATTTAATTTATACAACAAAGTAATATGGAATTTTCCCAGTCTGTAACATTCCCATTTGTTATTGAATTCCTACAAAAATTTTTTTTATACCTGTTTTAAATGTACATTACCATTGGCAAATATACTGCAATCCAAATTTGATGACGAGCACCTTTTTATAAAAAAAAGTATGAAGTGATTGTTGAGTATGTGAATGAGTAGATTTTCCCAAGAATGCATAACCATTAGATATCAAATTGATTGTTCGCGCGAATCCAGATAGTTCGTCAATGACTATTTGTTGAGTTCCGCAAACTTAGTTGTTTGCTGGTCCCATTTGGCTTTGTTGTCGGCCCATTGACGTTGTTATCGGCAAACACTCTAAAGACGTCAGTCACACTCTGTATTTCCCCAAAGCAATTTCTCCGCTCAATTGTAACTGCTTATTTAAGCTGATCAGCCGTGTAAATAATCATACAATGTCTGTCATCGTTTCCAGGTAAAGGACATTTGCAACGAGCTCGAGGTGCGCACTTTGTGCCACAAGATCCTCCAGAATGTTTCCATACTCCTGAATGCCGATCGAGGATCTCTTTTCCTGGTGCAAGGACGATGCAACGGACCTGACGGACTCAAAAAGTAAGTGTATAAAATGATGTATATATGAAAGGCTACGAATCATTGTGAAATTCAATCATGAGTTGTCTCAATTTCGTGATTTTGGGCTTAATAAGTATCTAAATAATGCTAAATGATGGCCAATTTGGGGAATGGAATTTTACGTGTCTTGTGATGACTTATCATTTTATTTACCAAAGGTGTTTACTAAGTTTAGCGATTTTGAAACTTAAATCAATGTCCTGATTCTACAAAATTGCTCTTAAAATAGATTCAACAGTAGCATTTTGAAGGAACTCATTGCCATAAATTTCTTTCTCAGTTTATAAATAGAACTGCAATGCAGACACACATTTATCATAAATCAGCCCCATTCTATTAGTCCAAAAGAAGACTGAAACTCCGATGCATATAGCAATCAGCCAAGTTGCCCCTTATTGTGCAGTATTCTCAGCAATTCGTTGATGACTTCATATAGCTGCATTTTTGTGGACATTGTGGATAGTGCTCCCCAGCAAATGCAGCTGAGTTGAGCTTCAACTTTGTCTTAGCAACATTTTTATGACATTTATTTTTGGCATTTTATGAGTGCGTTGCGTGGCTGCTGCGACTCCTTGTCCCCCCAGAAATTCGCTCCATAAATGCCATAACCCCGGCAGGAACCTGAAGAGGGGGGGGGGCATTGGGGCATGTCAGCCATTTTGTATGCATCGTATGACGCCATTTTGCTGCCAACACTAATTGCAATTGTCTGCACGCGCATTTGCCAAATGCATACTGTTGGCAAAAACTTTTTAAAGCCAAGGAAAAGGAACAGGAAAGCAAAAAAAAAAGGACACTGAGAAACAAATGATTTGGAAGGGGAATCAATAACAATCAATTAAATTATATTTTTAATATATTCAAGGGATATCATTTCTATTTGTAGAATTTTAAAGCCTTCTCCAATTAAAAAATTCCTTTGGAACTTAATGACTTTCGTTATATATTTTCTTTATTTATGGCAAAAAATATTATTATTATTATTTCCAACTTTCAATGACTACGTTTCCCCCAGTGGAACGGCAAAAAGTTTGCATTGTGTCCGATGACAATAGACGATAGTTGCCGCCTGCAACACAATTTATAATTTTCAACTTTGAATCCTTTTTGCCGTTGCAGATGCCTCGTCTCGAAGCTGTTCGATGTGTGCCCCCGCAGCACCGTGGAGGAGATGGAGCAGCAGGACGAGGTGCGGGTGGCCTGGGGCACCGGAATCGCCGGACATGTGGCCGAAAGCGGAGAGCCGGTCAACATACCAGATGCTTACCAGGTCAGTATGACTACCGTACAACAACCAGTCGGAAGTACCAAAAACAAGTACTATCTTGAGGGCAAATTTGACAAATTTGAATGCCAACTGGGTCATAAATCAACCTCAGCTGTTGGACTCGGAGATTATTCATTCGATTGCAAGATTTATGGTAGCAGATACCATTTGGGAGTATGAGTGTACGTGTATGTATGTGTTTTGCTCTTTAAGTTTTCAATATTGCTCAGTGAACTCGGTGGCACCAGCACTTTTCACATTTCCCAGCATTTCCTGGGCGTTGGCCACTCCCACATTTGCCCAATTTTTTCGGCAGTTTTTCTTTCGGCCTGTCTGCCAATTGGAGCGTAATTAATCTTACGAAAAGACAGTAGGGATGTTATATCACCAAGATATGGACTTCGAATGCCTTAATACGTTTTCGTGTTTTCTGTTTTCTGTGCTTAAAGCTGGTCGGCTAACGATAACAATTGCGGCTTCTTGAAATGTTTTCCCTCTAAAGTCATACTAAGCCAATGAGTGTAGATAAAATGCCCGCAAATACGTGACGCACAGACAGATCGCTTGTGCCTTGTAGATCTCCTGATTGTTGGCACAATTAATCAAGGCCTAAATTTGACACTTGCCGGTACCAGACAGCGCGACCAGCAGACAGAGAACCGGGCCCAAATACACTGAAAGTCAGCCAAGTCTGGGTGCGAATGAGCCGCATTATGATGGTTAGACACACCAGTTACGCTCGGGTGCAGATCTCTTTGGTCGATCCCAGTGGACTTTTGACTCGGCTAACTAGCTGGCCAAACAAATGTCAGCCGGCAAGAGGCAGCGACAGTCGGTGGCGTCTGAAAGCAGATAACCTCCCGAATTTTTGAGGGGAGAAAAGTGTATGGATCATGGGGAATGTGTGCCAAGTGGGACTGAAATAGATTGGGATAAAGAAAAAGTAAGATTGATAGAGAACATGACTTTGTTTGGCCACAATTATCAGATGTATTTTGGGGAGAAAGGTGAACAAACAGTTTAAGAATTTAAGATAAAATAAAACAATAATCAAATAGACTTGATATGAAAATATATACTGTAGTTATAAATAAATTAAGTGTATTATCAATTCATGGATAAACTGTTTGAGAACTTGAGATAAAATAAAACAATAATCAAATAGACTTGATATGAAAATATATATTGCAGTTATAAATAAATTAAGGTTATTATCAATTTATTCAATGCATGGATAACTTGTTTAATTCAGTTAAATGTACCAACTTTAACCACCAATTTAATTTCAAACAATATATAAAGAAAAATCGAATGGGGAAGTATAAACAAATCTGCATAAAGGCTAACGTACACAAAGATAACGTTAACAAGGAAAACTCATTTAAATGGGATACTAATTCGTGCACAAATTAATTTCGTTTCCAACGATTTCCCAATTTCCCCCGCAGGACGAGCGCTTCAATTGTGAAATTGACTCGTTGACCGGCTATCGGACGAAGGCCTTGCTCTGCATGCCCATCAAGGATTCATCCGGGGATGTGATTGGCGTGGCGCAGGTCATCAACAAAATGAATGGCGAGTGCTTCTCCGAAATCGATGAAAAGGTGAGTGCTTCTGGATGGGTTGAATAGTGGCGTTTCGAAACGCGGAAAAACGGAGGGGAGGAAAAGCGGGAAAGCCATGTGGAGATCGCATGACGGGGCAGTCAGGGATGGTTTCTTTTGTTCCGAATAAAGCCGCATAAGAGCTGCACACCCACCCAGTGGCAAATTGCATTCATTATTCAACAAAGGGGGGACTTGTTAAGAAAGCTTAGCAGAATGTCAGGCAAAATGCCATCAGGGATTATCCGATATGTGCGCCTGCCCCTGCGACTCTCTCATAATTTTATTTCTTTTTTCTTTTTTTTTTATGTGGCAACCTCTATCTTTTTCCTGGCTTTTGAGTAATGTTAATCTTTTGCGGTAATCCCCTTTGCAGGTCTTTGCCTCGTATCTGCAGTTCTGTGGCATTGGACTGCGAAACGCCCAGCTGTACGAGAAATCTCAACTGGAAATCAAGCGGAATCAAGTGCTCCTGGACTTGGCCCGCATGATCTTCGAGGAGCAGAGCACCATCGAGCACATGGTCTTCCGCATCCTCACCCACATGCAGAGTCTCATCCAGTGCCAACGGGTTCAGATCCTTTTGGTTCACGAGGCGGACAAAGGCAGCTTCTCGCGGGTCTTCGACTTCGAGGCGAACGATCTGAGTGAGGAGGAGGCCACCTCGCGAACCAGTCCCTATGAGTCGCGGTTTCCCATCAACATTGGGATCACTGGACATGTGGCCACCACCGGGGAGACGGTCAATGTGCCGAATGCCTACGAGGACGATCGATTCGACGCCAGTGTGGATGAGAACTCCTGCTTCAAGCACCGCTCTATTTTGTGCATGGCCATCAAGAACTCGCTGGGTCAGATCATCGGAGTCATCCAGCTGATCAACAAGTTCAATGAGTTGGTAAGAGCGGGGAATTGATTTGAGAATATAAATAAAAATAATAAAAAAATGGATGCATTAGATAGATACCACAAAGTTGAATCAAAATACAATTGGATAATTCTAAGTGTTAATTAACATACATTTTGTCGGTTCTAACATTCATTCATTATCCATTTAAATCTATTAAAATATTTACATACTTTTGCTTTAAATATTTTATTTAAATTTTCATGACCATGAGAATTGTAATAAAGACTAAATTAAATATTTCAGTACTAGTATACATATTTTAGTGGCATGCCTAATAAGAAGCCACACTTTGTAAACAGTTTATTTGATTATTAAGTACCTTCAAATACCTTAACTCCTGTGAAGTATTTTGCAATAAAAGCCGCAATAAGCATAAAAGGACTAATCGTTGGCCTTATCTGCTCCCTCAGGACTTCACCAAGAACGACGAGAACTTCGTGGAGGCGTTCGCCATCTTCTGCGGAATGGGCATCCACAACACGCACATGTACGAGAAGGCCATCGTGGCGATGGCCAAGCAGAGTGTCACCCTGGAGGTGCTCAGCTACCACGCATCGGCCACCATGGACGAGGCCCATCGTTTGAGGGTAAGTTCTGAGTTCTCCTATTCCATTCTCCCATTCAGAACTCCTATTCCTCACCGGATTAAATTGCCCTCACGGGTGCCATTCTACGGAGGCCAGTGAAATGCTTAATTTTATTTGCACTCACTTAATTTGCCCGAGGCCAAGAGGTCGTCCACTAGTTTGAGACTCTCTCTCTCTCTCTTTCGCTTAATTTTTACGCAGGGCCATAAATTAATGTGTCCTGCCTCCCTGTTGCATTGTCTTCTATGTGTTAGCTTCACGGTTTTTATTCGTTTATTATTTCCCAGTGTGACAGAAACAGCAGCAACAAGCTGTCGCTCTTGGCCACCCCCCACCCCCTTTCCCTTTCTCCACTTTCTCCCCTTTGCCCCTTGAACAAAAAAGCTTCAACGTGTTGACAGTTGTAATTAGTTTGTTCGCACAAGTATGACAAAAAGAAACTTTTCTACTGAATCCGTGGGTCTCCTCCGCCACACTCTTGCCAGCCAGCTTTTCATCGCCGGACACTCTCTCTGTAATTATGCTGGGAAAATTATGACCGCCTGTCGACTTGCCCAGCCAGACAAAGATGCTGGGTTATTAATTTTAATTAAAATTATGCCATACTAGGCTCTATTCGCACAACGAACGCAACGCAACGGGACGCAGATACGATTATGGCATCAAGCTGGAAAACCCTTTTTTCCGGTCCGCAACTGCCCTTCCCCCCTCCTTTTTTGCTCAAGGGGTTTTCCTTCGTGGCTTGGCGGGAAAAATGTCAGAAATTTTGATAAACTTCTCAGCTTTGGTGGCTAATATAGCACCATTTACATTCGCTGACAGCAAACGGATGAAGGTCCGGTGGGAGATTTTTTCTTTCTGCTCTCGAGGCGTCTTGGGTTTTCAGCAGTTGAGCACGTGCTGGTTTATTTTGAGGTGTGCAAAATAAGTGGCTCTTGGTCAAAAGTTTAAAGGAAATTTCGTGGGATTAGGGGCATTTAATGTGGTAGATTAATCAATGAATTTAAATACCCCATTATTTAATTAAAAAATTTGCCAATAAAAATTCTTTATAATATTGGTTGGATGATTCTATTTTTGTTCGTATAAATTAAGGGCTACTAAAATACTTATTAAGGATTTATTGCTAAGCAAAGTCTTATATTATTTGCCATATTTAAAATAAATAATTTATTTTTAGCGTCTTCGAGTACCTTCAGCTGTGCATTTCCGATTGCACGACTTTAAGTTCGATGACATACACTTTGAAGATGACGATACTTTAAAGGTAATTAACTAAAACAAAAAACCAAAAATAAAGCAATATTATTTAACTAAAATTTATTTTTTAGGCCTGCCTGCGCATGTTTTTGGATCTCGATTTTGTGGAACGCTTTCATATTGACTATGAAGTTCTTTGCCGTTGGCTGTTGAGTGTAAAGAAGAATTATCGCAACGTTACCTACCACAATTGGCGGCATGCCTTCAATGTGGCGCAAATGATGTTTGCCATTCTAACTGTAAGTAGTCAATTTAATTAAAATATTGTATAAATAATAATTATAATTTTGTTTAACAGACCACTCAATGGTGGAAGATCTTTGGTGAAATCGAATGCTTGGCGCTAATTATTGGCTGCCTTTGTCACGATCTCGATCATCGAGGGACTAACAACTCCTTCCAGATTAAGTGAGTAATTATAACTATAAACAAGGTTAAAATACTTAATAAATTATTTGCTTTATAGAGCCTCATCGCCTTTGGCTCAGCTGTACTCCACCTCCACCATGGAGCACCATCACTTTGATCAGTGTCTGATGATCTTGAATAGTCCCGGAAATCAAATCCTGGCTAATCTGTCCTCCGATGATTATTGTCGAGTTATAAGGGTGCTGGAAGATGCCATTCTATCCACTGATTTGGCAGTGTATTTCAAGTGAGTTTAGCTTGAAGCAACATTTGTTGAGTTGGTTTTTAAGTTCTCTATTTATTTTATAGGAAACGAGGGCCCTTCTTGGAGAGTGTGAGCCAACCAGTGAGCCATTGGGTGGCCGAGGAGCCGCGCGCCTTGTTGCGTGCCATGAGCATGACTGTCTGTGATTTGTCGGCCATCACGAAGCCGTGGGAGATTGAGAAGCGTGTGGCCGACTTGGTTAGCTCGGAGTTCTTCGAGCAGGGTGATATGGAGAAGCAGGAGCTCAACATAACTCCTATTGTGAGTTCAACAAAATTTATTAGGCGATTAAAGTGTTAATGGTAATATATCCTTAACAGGACATCATGAATCGCGAGAAGGAGGATGAGCTGCCCATGATGCAAGTGAACTTTATTGACTCCATTTGCTTGCCTATTTATGAGGTTTGTATGGGATACTTTTTCATGATTTGTTGATATAATATTTATGTATTTTATAGGCCTTTGCCACCCTCTCCGACAAGCTAGAGCCTCTTGTCGAGGGCGTGCGCGATAATCGCGGCCATTGGATCGATCTGGCCGATGTGGTGAAAACCAAAGCTAGTCAGGATCAGGATCGAGAGCCAGAGGAGCCGAAGGAGCAGCAGCAGAAAAATGTGATATCGAACGGTGACTGCAAGGCGATGAGTGATGATGATGCAACGGCGGCTGCAACGGAAGCGAAAGCGGAATCGCCAGCGGCGGACAACCAGCAAGGCCAACAAGCAAGCGTAAATGGCCCCCAAGTTGGCAACAACAGCAGCAGTCCCACTAATAAGAACCTTGCCGTCGCTTCTCATCCCACCAGCACCCAGCCCAGTGAAGATGATGATGATGATGGAGATGGAGATGCAGATGGAGTTCTTGAAGCAAATGCAGATGCAGATGATGATGGGGCAGAGACCGTCGAGGAGAACGGTCACGATGCCGAAGTGGAGGAGTTGTCCTATCGCTCGAACAGCAGTTGCAGCTCCTCAACGGCCTCCAGTCGTCTGTCGACGCCACCGCCAACCGGCGAGGATGACAGCACACCGGTTTCACCCTCGAAAACGCTGCAGGCCAAGCTGGTCGTGGCCAATTTGAGTGCCCTGCAGAGGCAGTCCTCCAATCCGAGTGGCAGTGGCAGCCAGAAGCAGCGCTGCAAGAGCTGTGATCATTCGAGGAGCGGCATGCAGGTGCGCAAGACGAGTTCCCTGCGCGGAGCCCAGGAATTGGAAACCAAAAATGGCAGTAATGCTGCTCTCTGCAAAAGCACGCCAGTGATCAACAACCACAGCCATCAGCATAGTCACAGTCACAGTCACAGTCACAGCCATAGTCACAGCCACAATCACAGCCAGCAGCACCATCATCACCATCATCATCATCACCATCACTCGCATCACAATCATGGCCAGCATGGCATCGGAATTGGCAGTGCCAGCATTGGTGGCAGTGGGCTAATTAGCCTGACCACGCCCCTTTTGGCGGCCGACAGTGATAGGATACCAAAAATAGTGGGCAAAATTGGAAATCTCGATGGTCTGCCCTTTGCCAATGGCATTGGTGGCACCCCAAATGGTCATGGTCTGCCATTCGGCAGCTTGCATCATCATCATCACCATCATCATTTGCTGGCGCGTCGTCATTCGGAGACTAATAGCAATGTGGCCACCGCTGTGGCAGCTGAAAAGTAAAAAAAAAAAACACAAAGAATAAGAAAAACATCCCAATCTAGTGTGTTTCTAGAAGCTCAGAAGCAGTCAAGGGATCAAAACTTAAGCTCAAAACTCTTGAACCATATTTACGATGTCCGAAAGTATGCAAGAAATTATTTCATGTACCACATACTCGTAGGCTCCCATATGGTTTCCCCTTAAAAAAAGAAACCCCTCTGTAGCAAGAGTTCCGGATCACATTAGCATATCTTCAATATGTACATAGTTCTATTCATCTCACCTCAAATCGCCACATAGCAACACTCATCTTGTATATAACATCCACTTTGAGCAACAGTATCGCAGTGCAGTAGGAAAGTAGGATTGTGAGGAACGAAGGAAAAAAAAACACATACCATATAAGCAAATTGTGGCACAGCAATTTGATAGCCTACAACTAAAACTAAATAGAAAGATTCCTATAAACGTATGTAAATCGTATATATACTTATGTATGTGTATACTTTGATCTGTGTGTGTTTGTATGTTAAACAATTTTAGTTCGTTAGTTAATGATAAAGCAAAGAAGTCAAATTCTCTAGATGTTTAAGCACCAACGAAACAAACAAAACGAAAAATTGTACCAAAAAAATATTGTGGCAGAGTGGCAAGTGGATTCTGCAATTGTCGTTTGCTTGCAAGTAACGCTCATCTTTTATGGAACACGGCAAGGATATAAAAGTATTGTAATGTCCCGAAAAACACACATATAGTGCATATACGAGTACGATAACGATGTGTAACTTAACCGTTAGTTGAATTATCTCTATGGGTACCAAAAGTCTAACTTTAGTAGCATTAACCAACCGCTTAGTGATGATGTTAGCCAGGGGCGGACGCAGAAAAAAATTTTGGGGGGGGTCCGGCCAAAAAAATTTTTAGTTTATATGGTTGAAAGGCCGTGTGCTGTAAGGAAATTTGAAAAAGTCTGCGATTTTGGGGGGTCCGAACCCCCCAAACACCCCTGCGTCCGCCCCTGATGTTAGCTGTCGAGTAACGAAAAAACCGATCCGATCGCGAACCTAGATTATAATAACCGCCCTTTATCCCGAAACCGAAATAAGAAAACAAAACAAACACTAAGCGCTTTGAATCCCCCGTCTCAGCGCTCTTTTCGAATTTAAATAATTGTAATGTTATGCGATAATAAGAAATGTATTTGTATCCACATATGTACTCGATGGTCTCAATGGGCTGGCCTACTATGCAAAACCCAGAGCATCAAATGAAAGCATTTTCCTAATGAAAATCAGCACGTTTAACGCTCTGTTTTTCGCTCGGATTTACTGCTCGTACATATTTCGCAGATGCGTCTATATAAATCCGTGTAATCCTTCTTTAGATTAAATTGTACTTTGTGAGTTTTGTTATTTATTGTCGGCATTATAGAGAAACCTATCGAAAATACACAAAATATTTGCTGTAAAGGACCATGTTCAATAAGGCAAAACTAAATAAAGCAACATAATATCTACAGAATGTGTTTTATTACGCGGATTCTTTACTAAAAGCTCTCTCTTTTGAGTAACTTAAATCCCAATTACCTGAAGAAACAACAAGTACTAATTATTTCACTCACATTAAGTGTTTATTATAATTTGTTAATAGTTATGGTGTAGTTTTAATTAGGATATAGCTAGCACACTGCGAAAAGCGAGTGTTTGATGATGGGGCCGAGTGTTTTGTATTTTATGACGTACAGAACTGGCGAGTATACTATATATTGATCCCGCCGTTGCATTGGACAAGTCTTTAGGTAAGCAAACAACAAAGAATCTTATGTACAAACGCAATGCAAGAGTTATTTACAAAATGCGTCATAATTGATTGATCCACCGCACTCAAAATTGTATAGCTTTTGCAGGATTCTACAGGGAAGCGATGAAGGGCGTGAGGTCGGGGAACTTGAAGAGATTCTGGTTGCGGGATCGGGTCACTCTGGGCTGAGCCTGTCCCTGTCGCTGCTGGGGATTGAAGCCACTGGCCTGCTGGCCGGTCAAGTAAATGCCGCACTGCGAGTTGCAAACCTCGTCGCGCAGAATGGCCTCCTTGGGCCACTGGCGAATCAACTGGCCGCAGTCGGTGATGCGCAAAGAAGCACATTGGGCCTACAATTAAGATTTAAAATTTAGTAAATATTTTATTTTAAATATTATTAGTTAACTTACTCCTTCAGCGGAGCAAACGCAACTTGTGCAAGGCGATGGGAAGGCAGACTCGCCAACACGCACATTTCGGTTGCCAATTTGACAGCCCTGAACATTTTCACGCCAGGCATTCAAGTCAATCTGGGGCATTGACGCGCAGGGCACACGTGGGTTGCTAAAAAAAATTATTTAAAAATTTATAAATAAAATAAAACATAATTTAAATAAATCATTAAACTTACAGGAAATTGCTGGGCAAATCGAAGGCAGCACGCTGCATATCACCGGTGATCTCGAGATTCTCGCACACAATCTTGGCCAAAGTCACCTTACGGACCTCAGCCAGCTGAGCCTCCGTGAACTTGACCTCGGGGTTCTGGTTCTCATACCAGAAGCGATCGCATTTGCGCAACTGCCTGAACTGGATGCCAATGATGCAGGCCAACGTGGGTCCAACTAAGCCTCCCTGAAGAGGACGTTCAGTCATTGCTCCTGGGAACAGATCAATGTCATCCACACTGGCGTACACCTTCTGGAATCGGTTGATGACCTCGGTGGGTATTTCGCGGCTCAAGTCGTTCCAGTTGGTGGCACGTTTCAGGTTGCAAAGGGCGCGGTAGTTGTTGTAAGAGGGAATGCCATGATCACGAGCTGAAGAATATTTTAACATTTTAAATAATTTATAGAAATATAAGTAAAACAAGGTAAACTTACCTCTCTGAATATTCAAAGCAATCAAATCAATGCCCGAGAAGGGAATCTTGCGGTCCTCGAACAGATGGTTGGTCACCTCTCCAGTGATAAATTGATCCAGAGTCTCCATGGGAGTGGCCACCAGACCACGCAGGATTTCATCAATGATTCCGGGCTGCAGAAGGTTATCCATGCGGAAGAAGCCATCGCGAAGGAGTAGAGGAGGTTCCACCGGCTGATGTTGGACACTCAAACGAGGAATGTGAGGACGCAGCAGGGAGTGACCAATTCGGAAGGCAGCGGCAGCAAACTCATTGAAGACAATCGGAGAGCAGGAAGGATTGTAATCCTTGTAGTAACCCTGAGGCAGAAGCTTCAGGCCATAGAGATTCACGGCATTCCAGCTGAGGATTCGGGGCAGGAACTCGTTGAACACAATGTGTTGCACCTGGGCGCTGACAATCTTCCTGGCATGATGGAAGAGCTGCTCGCCATTCCAGTGGGGATTCACTCCGCGCAGACCCTCGACAATCCGGTTGTGTTCGCGCAGGAAGGCGGTGTGGATGGCAGTGAGACCTGGCTGCTCGGAGGCACGATCATCGCCTCCCAGGAAGCACAAGCCATTGCGGGATTTGCATTCGGGATGGGGACCCAGTGGCAGCAACTCCTTGCCCCTCACCTGAGTGCTGTTCATGCGACCCGAGAATCCTCTCAGTTTGTTCGACAGACAGGTGGTCTCTCCATAAACCATGGAGCCATCCAAGAAGTGGGTATTCTGATTGATCTGATCGCGGGGACCCAGCGATTGCTGGCCGGGCAGCGATCTCATCGAGGGGAAGCAGAACCTCTCGCCACTGGTCACATTCACCTCGGGATAGTAGAAGTCACCGGCTGGCACCGGGAAGGGATTGCACTCGGGATGCACCGTCTGCCGGGAATTGCAGGGTCTGCAACTGGGAATCGACTCGTGGAAACCCTTGTGAATCGGCGTCAAAGTCAAATCGTGATCCACAAACTGCGCAAACTGCATCACCATCAGGGAATAGCGAGTGTGCAGATTGGAAATATCAGGATGGATTGTGGTGGAAATAGTTCTGGGATTGGGCAACTGGGTGCCAGTCACTCCAGTGATCCTTGGAGCCGAGATGCCATCCTCATACTGAGCGGGCAGCAAACGGGAGAAAGTGGTCAGTGACTTGCCCCAATTGGGGTTACGCAGGTTGTTGCACCTTCCGGACATCGTTCGGAATGGCGAGTTGGCATCGCACTGCTGATTGGGTTCCGGGCACTCATCCAATGGCTTCTGGGCACCGCCAAGCAGTCCACTAATGTCCACCGTTTGCAGGGTATCGGTGAGTTCGTTGCGATTGAAGGCATTCTGGTTGGGATTGAAGATCTGTCGCTTGCGTCGAGTGATGTGGTTCAGGGTCTTCACAATCTCATTGGAGGTCAGCTCGAAAATCAGCGAGGAGTTGGCCAGATTCAGAGCAGCTAGATTGGCCTTGCTGAAGGAAGCAGCTGTGCCATCAGGAGAACGGGCACTGATGCCACCCTCTGTAAAAAAAATTAATAAAAATGTAGTTAATATCATATAAATATATAACATGTTTATAACTTACTGGTTCGCCACACTTCGTACTCGAAACGCTTGCGTTCCTCCAGTTCCTGCTTGGCTCTTTCAACTGCAGCCTCGATCAATTCAGGACTCAGTTCAGCAATGGCTTCCTTGGTGGCAGGTTCCACCTCTACATGCTCCACATGCACCTCATCTTCGGGACTCACTTGCCAAGGTTTCAGATCGAACTTGGGCAGCTGATCGCAGTCCAAAACGGAGTTCCTAAAAATAAAGAAATGCTCTAGATTTTATGTTCCTAAAAAATAGTGGAGTAATTATTTACTCACAGGTAATTATCCTCCAGAATGAACGCCTTGGACTGAGCGGTGCTAACTTGATGAGATCCACACAGGAGACCAGATAAAGAAGTCTGGCGAATGCTCTTCAGTTGCTCCAAAGTAAAGGAGGATGGTGGAATCTCATTCTCATACCAGAAGCGATCGGTTTGCTTCAGTTGCTCGAACTGCAGGGTCAACAGGCAGCTGATTGTGGGTCCAAAAAGAGCTCCAACCACTGGCTCCTCAAGCAGAGCACCGACTAACAAATCAATATCCTCAGCGTTTCTAGTAGAGAAAAGATAAAATATTTAATAAATAATTATATGTTAGTTGTTTTAATATATTCAACACTTTGTAAGAGAACCTTTAACAAAAAACAGGAGATTATAATTTTTAAGCTCAATAAAGATCTCAACATTCTTAAGAGATTAAACTCCAAAGTAAAATAAAGCCATATCATATTTAAGCGGAATACATTAATACAAGATACAAGTATTGACCACTTAATGATTTATGTATTCAACTTAATTCTGACCATAAAAGAAAAATGAACCAATTTGGAGTTGAATTTTGAGGTAATCTCGTAAAAAACACAAAGTTGAGTGCCCAACAATTAAGCAAACCGGAATTTAAAAGGTTCGCCCCAGAATGGTGTTTTATCACCCAAGAGCGCCATAAAAACTCACTGGTAAATGTCACGCAGATTGGTGATGTACTCCTCGGGAATTTTGGACACCTGAGCCAGGGTATCGAAGCTCACATTGGCAGACTGATCGGCAAATCTCCGCTCGCAGAGATCGAGGGCATGGACATACGAGGCAATTCCATGATCACGACCACGATGAACGGCCAAAGCCAACTCGGACCAGCCCTCGGCATTCGTTTGACTGGGAACTAGTGATTTTTGCAGGGCAGCAATGGACAACAGTTCGTGGGCGGACATCTTCTTGGCCAGCATTTCGGGGGGATACATGCTCCAAAAAGCGGGAATCGCGGCGGTGGCAAACTCATTGTAGATTCCTCCCCCTCACGGAGCTCGAATAGTTGCTCGAATGCTTCTCGGCAGTCAGTCTCAATCCCTCCTTGGCCGTGGTCTCCTGGCCCAAAACCAAGGGCAAGAACTCGTTGTAGGTGATGTGCTGAATGGTGGCCGTGATGATCCTTCTGGCCTCCAGGAACACATCCTCCTCGGACCAATCGGGATTGATGTGCGCCAGCCGCTCGCCAATGTTGTTGTGCTGCTGCAGCAGAGCCCGATGCAGGGCTCCAGTGGCCCCAGCCACCTGGCAGTACTTGCAGGACTCCACCTTGACTCCGCCACTGATGTAGGTGCGCAGCTGGTCGAATTCGTGGCGAGTGGAGCCGTACAATCCGGAGCCATCGATGTACGCCGAGGCAATGTTCATCTGCTGGCGAGTGTCTGCAAAAAAGGAGAGATTATTATAAACATATTAAAGTGATTTATATATGCATAAATTCCTAGATAATAAAAAAGTAATTTAGATATTTTTATAATCACAGAATTTATTTCATATATTATAAATATAAAATGTTTTCTAAAAATGTTTTGATTTATTCTTTAGAAGAAAGATTTTGAATCGAATCGATAAATCTTTTTCTATTGAAGAAAAAGAGTTGTGTGTTTAAAAAAAACGTATCAACATTTTTAGAAATATTGAAATATTTTGAATTAAGGTTTTTTCCTTTTTAAGTAATATAGTTTTTACTTACGTTTCTGGCACGCCTCGGCATCGAATCCTGGAGCGGATCGCTTGTACTCCTTGCAGTCGGGTCCTGCCCGCACGAAGCACTGCTGCAGCTCGCTGGGATCCTTGACGGCGGAGTCCCGCTCGCAGCACTTTCCGGAGATGGGCAGCTGACCGACCTCCACCAGGTCATTGGCCAAGAGTTGACCCCAGGCGGGCAGCATGGCAGTGATGTGGGCGTGGCGCAGTTCACCCTCCACATGGCGCTGCAGTTGCTCGATCACCAATTCGGCATCGGGCAGAGCATGGGTTCCCTTGGAGGTCCTTGGCTGGCTAACTCCATCGGCGTAATCCGCAACCAGCAAACGTTGGAAAATATCTCCACGGGCTCCCCACTTGCGGTGGGAAACGTTGTTGCACTCGGCGGTTGGCTGGCGGTACTTGCTCGGCGGGCAAACGTCATAGTCACCGGCCACACTGCCCTCCGCCTCCTCAGAGGATCCACATTGGGTCAGGGAGCGGGCACGCTCGGAGCTCAGGGCATTAATGGCGGCGTTCTCAAGGTCCTCGGGGATGCGGAGTGTCAGACTGGGAGCACAAAGGCACCTGGAAAATATAGGAAATAGAAAACAATCAATTAAACGGGAGGGAAAATAATAAACACTTTTAAATAAATGCGAGAACAAAACAAAAAATATTACTTTCACTTTAAGCAACAAATAAATCATGTGAAAGTTTTATGATTCCCTATAAATTCTACTAAAAAATTAAATCCAAATGAAACTCTATAGATTTTGCTTTGAAGTTATGTTGTTATGACCTTTAAAAACAAGTATTTCAAATTTCAACAAACAATCCCATATTTAATGTCTTTATCACTGGCTTTGGATAATTTATTTAAAGAGCCGACTTTAAATTTAGATTTTAAGTTATACATAGAAGAGCAAAAAACAAGTTTTCATTAATAAAAAAAACTTCCATTTTATTTCTCTCATTCATTATAATAAATCCCCATAAAACAACACAACCTAGGAATAAAACACAATTAAATCTTTAGTTAATTAGACCTTAGTTAATGAATGACTCACGGAAACAACTATACATTCTTTCTTGATCAATATCCCCTTAGTCATTAAATGATTGCCATCCTGTTGGCTTTACCCCAAAAATGCAAAACATTTCGAAAGGTTTTTCCTGCAATTTCGTTATCAGCATATCGGTTTACCCCAAAAACTCCGACCACGTATCATTAATTTTCCCTGAATCGGTTCCGTTTCATTCATTCATGGGCTCGCATTGCATTTTCCGGCATTTAATTATAAGTTTTCCCACATCGACGTCGTTTGCTCACACTGTTAATTAAACAAGGCCCAGACAACGCAAACGCAAACTGAAAACTTAGCATATAGAAAAAAAGTATATGATAGAGGAGGCGTAGGTCTGCGATTTTCTAGCTTACCGGATATGAGAAGCGTCTGTCGAACCAATCAATTTCGAATTATGAACAATGACGCCGCCTGTCCAAGTTTACCGATTTACCGACTGCCCCCAAAAGGCTTTGACTGACTGACAACTGAGTGAATAGCTTATTAAGCCCGCACTTTGTCCGCCTGTCATTATGTTATTCTATTGATTTCGGCCAGCCAGCCTTTGGCTCACGTGACGGAGTTTCTTTTGTGGTTGCATTGACATTAATTTCCGAATTGAAGTCTTTTGTCAACAGCAACAATATGCAATTTATTTACGCTTGACGTCAAGATCCGAGATTATGCAACACTCGGCAATCTTGTGGATGTGGGCGTAGAAGATCCGCTTTTAGAACCCGCCTAATGAGCTCATTTCAATGTTTGGGTAAACGTCCTCACCTTCCCCTACATACATTTTTTGGCCAACTTCGAGATACGAAATGATATTCAAACAAAGTTACCCTTCTGGTTTCGGTTTAATTGGTTTTATCTTCGCTCAGTTTATTGAGTTATACTCACGTATATTTTGTTTAGCACTCATTTCAAAGTTGAACGTAATTTGTGGTATTTCGTTCGAGTTGTTAAGACGAATCTTCAAGGCTTTAGCTCGTTTTTTTTCGGATACTTTTAAGTGACCGCTTGATGAAGTCTATTTTGAAAGATTCCAGTCGATATTAATGATTTAAGATATCTGTGCTTTCGGTATGAACTTGTTCAGAGTTCAAGAGCCACATAAATCTGTGTTGTTTATGAACAAACCGCAGGAAATGGCTGGCTTAATTATGGAAAAGTTTCCCATGGCTAAGAAATACTAGGCGTGGCATCTTCAACACAAAAACATCTTGGCTATTATGCGGTAATTTGGGTCACTCGCTGGTAAGCCAATCTCCCCCATTTATTCGCAATCAACGAAAAACCCATTGCAAAAGTTAATTCATTATGGCGATTCTGGCAAAAAGAAATGCCAAGTGAAGTAACGATTACCGAAAATAATTCGTAATGCGATTACCCATTTGCCAGGTGTCGTGGCTGCCCATTGGGGCCAGTCGAATAATACGTTGGCCAATATGCATGCAGCAGTCGGCAGGCAATTGGCACACATAAGTTAATTTATTGCCGGGCACGAGTAATCCCCTTTTAGTTGTTAAGCTGTGCTTGTGCAGAACTTGACTGCCGTCACGAGTCTCAAAAAAAAAAACAGAAATATATAAAAATAAGATAGTCGAAACTGAGCTGAAAGCGAAAGCAGAAGTGCTGGCAATTTACATTTGTTTGTTTATGGCTTTTATGCGGCACGGAGCGGGTCGTCTGGTATTTATGTCACCAGCTGAAATGCAAAAATGTGTGTCATGCCTCGCCACTGATGGCACCCATAAAGCAAACAAACAAGCCAAACAAAACTCCGGTCGAAGAAAAAAATATAAAACCGCAAATAGAAATGCACGGCACATGCGGCGTATACGTTATTTAACAGCATTATGACATCAATAGTTAGCATTTCTTTTTTATTTTTATCGAGCCCTCTTGGTTCAACAATTAAATAAATCAAATATTGAAAAGGAAAGTTCGTGTTGGGTTTATCAATCAGTCCATTTGGCAAACGGAAGCAGAGATCGGCTTTAAGTTGTCATAAGCCTTTTGCATTCAAGTGGGGATTTTTACTGAGTTTGCTGATTATCAGAAGATTTGCGTAGAGGTTGCTTGAACTTGTTTTCGGCGAAATTTATTTATTTGTTTGACATTTTTTTGGTTTTCTCAGCTGACTGGTCGGCAAGAGGAAACGGCGGCCAGTATGGTAATCATCGAAAGATGATGATTTTATAAGAATTTAACCTGAGTCAAATTCCTCGTAAAACTCGCACTCGATTATCGGTCAGATCGACAGCTTTCAGGGTAATTGTGTTCATATTGATTGGCGCTTATTATTTAGCTGCTTAATTCCATTGTGAACGGCAACCCGTGGTATTTGCATTTTGTTTACGGCACCTTTACAATCGGTAGTCAGTCATTGGAAATTACAAAACACGTGAGTAAGAACTGTAAAAATACCAAATGGCAGATGTAACAAGTCAAACCAGTTGCGGTGAAAAACTGATGAACGCGTGCCAATCCTAAAATAGTTGACTTTTGTCTGGCAATCAAGCGACTTGCATAAGCGCATCTCAATTGCAAACGATACATCATTGTTAATGTGGCTTATTTAATAAATATTGCACAAGCATTGGCTGCCTGGCAAATTATGCTATTTTGCGATTTGCATAAATTCCCGGCGATGCCGATAAGCGATTTATGTTCAATTTGCAAGTGCTGATAGTTCGGTAGCTGTGCGCAATTGAGAGTCACGAATTAATTGTTTGTGCAAATCATGAGTTAAGTGGCCTTAGATAAGGCACAACCCACACACACAGTACCACACAACTTTGCCGCAGCATAAGAGTCTAGAGTCTAGAGTCGAGAGACTTGGGAATACCTAGAAATAGAAACGAAACGAAATCTTCGAACACCCGCAATTGCTTTTGCGCAATCGGCGGGAAAACAAAAGACTTAGGCAACAAACTTGACTCGCCGCCAATTGCCAAATCATGCAGCAGCAGCAGCAGCAACAGTAACAGCCACCTCAGTCGATATAAAAATTAATTATGCACCCGAAGAAGGCTTACACAAATGGGTTAGTGTGGCAGCCAGCAAAAGTAACAAATCAACACAATTGCGGAAGCCATCGAGTGTTTGGTATGCGCATTACTCATGCCAACGGCCGTTTGACGTCGTTTTCATTATCAACAGTCCGCAGCTGTTGCCGGCTGGCCAAATATGCCAAACACATACGTGTATACTATATGTATATATAGACATCACTATCCGTATGGCTATAGCTTTACTTGTATGTATTTGCACGCCTGTCGGCGACTGGCAACACCCCCTGGGCATCCATGTCTTGCTGCAATTACTCCAAAGGCACGTAGCGTCATCGTCATGTGACTTTGCACATGATTTCCTACCACCAACACAGGCCGAAGGAAAATCAGCAACACCAGCGACAGCAGCAACTACTACCACAAGCACATGGCTCGAAACAAGAAAGCGAAAGTATTTTCCATTAAATACGAGTACTCAATACTCTTCTACTTTATTCTTTATCCCTAAATGTTATAAAAATAACCTTAAATGTCACCATCAGTTACATGTGTAAAAAATATAGAAAAATATTTATTTATTTAATTTTTAATTTTTATAAATTAAACTCATATTCTAAACTGCCAATACCCACTTATGTGTCTTTAAAATTACATTTCATAGTTTGGCTAAAAAGCTTGTCAGTAGAGTTCATTAAGTTTTCTAAATGGGTTTTAGACAATTACAAGTCTTTTTAATTTTCCGACGAAGTTTAAGAATAATAAAATACATTTTTAAACAGTTGGTTCACATATGGTGGTGCACATGGTGGTACAAAAATATGAAAAACTTCTGCCAAAATCAACTCAAACAGTTTCCCCATCGTTTAAGTCTGGCGTTTTCCTGCCATCAAGTGTTGATCATGTGATCAGCGCTATACACTCCCCAAACACTCTTTGTTTCACTCGAACGTCGTGGTTTCTTTGTCGTGTTTATTACACAGCCAGTTTCTTGGCTCTGAACATTGCACAATGGGTAGGAGTACTATAGACCGGGCCAAAATCAGACAAAAGGCTAGGAAAATACTCGTGATTGAATACTTGTTCATTACGCCCTCATACACTTCTTCTTTGAACCGATGAGGAAATATGAATGAAAAAACAAAAAAAAGAGGCAATACAACGGTTCAACTGAAGATGTGCATACAGAAATTTTCAAGTGCACTTCATTACCATAACGATGATCATTTGCAACTTTGATGATCATCCGACATCAAAGTTGAATGCAGGCGGGCATGATGCAATTTTCATGTTTACCTCTCTTTTCAGTGACGTTCATCGATGTGGTTTCAAAAAAAATATTGGTTACATTGCCAAGTCTGTTGTTGCAGATGTTGCTGTGGCTGCTGCTGGTGAACGCCAACAATAAGGCGTGAAGATCATAATTCTATGCCAGTGTGTGTCCCCATGGGGCCGTTGCTTTTTATGGCAAGAAAGTGTAAACGCTGGCAAAGTCACGCGCCGCAGACAACCATACGACTATATAGCTATATGGGTATTCGAATCTGCGGATAGCGGGGCGTAACTTTCGTTTTCATTGCGAAAGTGCATACAACTTGATATTGGTAAACAATTCGAAAAGAGCTGCTTTTTGGCCCCGTATCTCAGTGTGAGTTATAGAGTGTTGCCTGCATGCAAATCGATGGGGAGTTTTCCTATGATTTACTACCAAATGCCAGTTGGTCACTGACATCAAGGTCGCGGCTCGTTGGCCAACAGTCGATCCATTTGGCAAAAGGGAAAAGGCATTTAAAGCGATTATAGGCCTCGAACTCCCTAAATGGCGCATTAGGGCGACAACACCGATATGATCGTCTATAATCGTCGTGTAATTTACCAAAATTGACAACGCACCCAGGTGTGTTTGGTGAAAATTTTCGTGGGCCCAAAAGCTGTGAAATCTTTTCGGGCAATTTAAGGTGAAATATGAGAAAGTTAAATGAGCTTTTAGGTATGGAATTTAAAATAAAAATTGATAAAGGGGAATTGGGGAAGCAGATATGCATATAAGGTGAGTTAAAATGATAGGCACAGAGTTTAGGGAAATTTATGGTAATTTAAACAAATCAAATATAATTATACTTAAAACCCAATACCTATAAAAAGACCTTTAAACATTCAAATAACTCTTTTAGGTTTATGTTTCCAAACCCATTTAAATCACCAACTTCATAACCATCTTCATCCCACTTATGTAACAAGGCAACCTGCCACATCGTCTTTAAAAGACGGAAGATGCCGGTTGCTCTCAGCAGGCAAGTGTCAAAAAAATAACTCAAAAGGCTCTTTAAGCCCCATTTGAAGAGCTGGGCATATTAACAAATATTTAGTTCCGTTGCCGGACAGCAAAATTACTTGAAAGCCCGAAATAAAATAAGGCCCAGTCAAGCCTGTTGGCCACTTCATCCTGTTGAAGTTGATTACGTCTTGCGATGGCAACAACAAAAATTTCACTTTCGTCTGTTTGGCATTTTGCTTCAGATTTTGTTATTGGACTTTTTATTTTTTTTTACCCCAGATGCCTTGTACCGTTATCTTTTTAAAGAGGGGAGCTCAAGCCGCATCCGAAATTTCTTTTAACCCAAATAAACCAGTCGCAAACACGATGTATGGGTAGACATTTTATATATGTTTTGCGGTTGATTGTGTCACATTTTTTTTCGGAATCGAAGGGAATGACTGCCAGTTGTATTGGAAAAGACAATTGGCGGCCAGTTCCTTTTAGATTTTTGTCTGGTTTCGTTTTCGGTTTCAGCTGCTGTGTATATGGATCTATATACCTTTTTATTCGGGCTAGCGTCAACCCGTTTTTTGGACCCACGTATGTAGAAATAAATAAAAATAAATAGTGGTCAGACAGGCGCTGCCAGAGTTGGACACTCGCAGAAATATTTGTGGGCTTTGAATTATTCTTGGCGGAGCTGAAAACAAGTTGAGCAACGGCTTCTTGATTTATGGAAACACTTGAAGTTGGCCAACGACAGAGTTATGCATGTTCTCTCAGGGTCAACAACTATGTACCCCGATCTCCAGTTCTGATTGCCTTTCACCAGGAAGCCCGAGGAAGAAAAGGGATTTCGGCCATCTTGCCGTTGGCTTCATGTCAAATAGGTTTATTCATCTTTTCACTGGCCTAACTTTCGGAATATTTTCTCAGGGTCAACAACTATGTACCCCGATCTCTAGTTCTGATTGCCTTTCACCAGGAAGCCCGAGGAAGAAAAGGAATTGCGGCCATCTTGCCGTTGGCTTCATGTCAAATAGGTTTATTCAACTTTTCACTGGCCAAAACTTTCGGTGCCCAGACAAACGGTGATTAATTAGCCAATATATTAGACTTAGACTTAAATAAAAAACGTGTCTCAGACACGGCAAACAGCGAATGATATAAATATGATAAATGACGGACCATCGAAAGACGGGCGAAACTTGCAAATTAAATTACAAAAACACATAAAAACGAATTCTCGACTAAGAGAATTCGGTTTCAGTTTCAGATTTCGAATTCGGTTTTAGCCTTGAACCCGCCGTTCTGTTTTTGTTCTGTTAATTGCTTATTTATCATATACACGCTGGCTAATTGATTTTTAAGCAGTTCTAGCAAACAAAAAATAAGACAACATCTTGACTAATTCTGAATACTAAAAAGCGTTAGTCGAAGAGGCGGCGCCAGTTTTAATCTGAGTTTAAGTTTTCTTTTGGCCCAGGTGCTAATGGATGTCTGTGAAATAGATTAATCACAGACAAAACACTCAAATGATAGCTTTATGAAGATGCGGAATTGCCGGGTGAGAAATTGTTTAAAGCCATGCATAAATTCTGTGATAAATTGGGCTATTAATAATTGTTTGAATTCTTAAGTTTATGTTTGGATGAAACTCAAACTTTAAGTTGCTGATCTAAGATTATTTTTAAAATATACTAGTTGTTAGGTATAAAAAATGTTCTGCTTATAGGAATTAGCAGAATTCTCATTTATCATATTTACTTTTTTTAGTTCTCTCTTACTTTACTGAGTTTGACCTTCAAAAAACTCCCACATCCTCGGCAACTCCTTCTATTCTCTTTAGAGGCACGTGTCACCCGACAATTTTCACCCACATCCGCATTGACCTTTTAGCGGATGATTGTCAATTCAAGTTCGTTGCCTAAGTCTTTCGTTTCGACCCACGCTAATGCTCCAATTCACTTCAAATATTTCGCTCGCAAAAATCACAGCTATGTGTGTCCACAGTTTGTTGCTTTTGGAAGACCGGTGACATCTCAGTTGGGGGCGCCAAGCCTTGACGCCGCAGTCAATAAAAAAAATGTCAAAAAGTGTTTAAAAATGCTCGTATGGTGTAAAACACTCGAGAAAACTTTTAGCAAGAATTCTACGACATTTAAGTGACTTAAGTGTGTCAACTAGACAATGTCAGCATCTGGCAGCGCAGTCGGCGATCGGCAGTCGGCAGTACTTGTGCTTAATTTGCCTGAGCAATCAAGTTGCTCGGCTGCATTCTGAGCGTCGCCGCATGACTAAGCCAAAGAAGTCACAACTGGCCAAGGCCTCGAAAATAGTAAATCTGTTGAGCCTGGTCTGGCCACCAATGTCGCCAGTCGGCGGGGGATTATCCAATCCATTGCATAATAAGTGGCCTGCTAACGCCGCGTTCCAATTTGCATAACTTACACACACTGATTAACACAAGACGCCAAATTAATGCGACCGGAGATAGGAGATAGGAGTTAGGAGAAAACTTTCTACACTTAGCGGCAGCCTGTTAAATTTACAACAACCAAAAACTATATATGAAAATCTGTTATTTAAATCTAGGCTTCATCGCGGTGCTTCTCCATCGATAAAGCCAGATTAATTGCAGGCCTATGAATTGGATACGCCTGCAAATTATGTAAAGTTTTATGCTTCGGTTTCTCTTTTTATATATATATATATAAATTTGGGATGCCTACGTTGGAAATTATGTCAATGCGGTTAACACAAAACCGAAAAAAGAGGCGAGCAGCGCGGACTGAAAACGAAAATAAAGTCATGATTGTGTAACCGTTCCAAAAACCACCTGGCACGACACACAAACATAAAAAGCGAAAGAGTCTTTTGTTGCCGCTGACAACTTTTTCTCTTCGATTTACCTTGGCATCTTCCCAGCCAAGAGAGTGAAAAATGAAAGTGAAACTTTTCAAATTGATTTTTCACCGCCGAGCAAAGAAATCCGATCCGAATCGATATTACATGATCGCCTGTCTTTGATCGCCACCACCTCCAATAAATAAATAAATATTTATATGCAGATATAATCAAAATGAATCCACATCATGCAAATTCTTGAAAATAGTGTTGTCGATTTCTGTGGAGTTAATGAAATGCCTCAAGGACCATTAAAACGGGGAAGTCGAATCGCTCAGTGATAAGATGACTGACTCTGTCAATATCTGACTTCCGTTGACGCTTAGAAAATTCATGATTAATGATGCTCGGTCCTCCGACAAAGCGGCCAAATTGCGTTCGCATGCCTTACAAACTATAATTTGCCTTATAATGACCATCTGCGTTTTATGTTTTAGTTGTGTGGCTCGTTGTAGTAGGCCGGCCATTTGGCCCGAGCGCTAATGCTCCGAGCTAATGCATAAATAAAGTCATAAATGCAGCTGAAATCCGCCTTCAAAAATATGCCAAAAAACTAGTTTCTAAGGTCACGCATTTAAGCCAAGATTTACATATTCTTGCAATTAAATTAGCAACTGGGGGAGTTATGCAATACTAATTAGGTGTTTAGAGGACGCACTTAAACACTTTTAAGTTATTTTGAGACATTTGTTTAAGTGTTTGGTCCTTGTGAACCTAAAAGCAAAGTCAAATACGTTTGCAATCTTTAAATCAGCAAAGGAAAAGAATATTTAAAAGGAACCACACACATCGCACATTAAACACTTTTTAACAATAATAACTTAATTAGAAGTTTTTAACTCACCATAAAATTAAACTAATCAGCATTTCTGGCTTCTTCATGCTGAAGCCGATGGCTGCTCCTGCGGCAACTTTATTTGTTGTGCGTTTTTAATGAGGATTTAAATTACACGACTTACTAGTTTATATAGTTTAGACTTATTAGCTCTTTGTTATACAAAATAAATAGATTTAACTTATATTTGGCACGTTTTGCGAATTTGTTGATGAATATATTAAATAAATATATATATGTGTGTGTTGCTAGCTATTCTCCTGGCTGTGGATCTCCTTCTCGTTTATTTTTTTATCTCTAGCGCTTATTTGGCGGGTTTTGCAACGGGCGTGGAATTTGTCACCAGCGGTGCGACGGAGTCTTGCCAAAGAGATTGTAACCGATGATGTATGCTATGATTTGTATCCTTTCGGTAATTAGCATAACGTTGGCAATGCAGAGCACAGCATTGACCCGAATAGCAGAGCGACGAGCCTATCTTGGCCACCAAAATCGATTGTAGTTGTGGTAATATATATATATATTTTGTTGTTGTTGTAGTTGTGTGCTTTTTAGCCGTGCACACGACTCGATCGGTGCGAACGCGTCGACGAACTAAAACTGAAACCGATATGGAAATCGAAAACGAAAACGAAAACGTAACCGAGAGCCGAGACCAAGATCCAAGATCTTTATTAGAGACCCAGACCCAGACGATAAAGCCGACTCTGAACGCCTGAACGCGGCAGAGGCAAAAACGTATCTGAAAGCTGACAGCTTCGGTGGCCGGGCTTAAAAGGCACTCCACACAGACACCAAAACGGATCTGCTGTAAGCCAAGCTTCACCCCATAGTGAAACCGGTAACACCGACACCGAAGCTCTTCTCTCTCTCTCTGTCCTCTCTCGTTGCTCTCTCTCTCTTTCTCTCTCTTTCTCTCTTGGCGTCTTGAGCTTGAGTTTGAAGTTTTGAGGGGAGAAAGTAAAATGATGCGACTGGCGTACACTCAACTACACAGCATGAGACAGGGCCAATATACCACCAATACTGACCAGCAAAAATAAAAAAAAAATACATAAAAAAACAGACAAAATACCATACACAAAAATCAGGCCAAAAACTGACGCTTTTGTTTCGTTTGCGGTCAGAGGCTCTTTTTTTAACACCTTTTGTCTGCACTTTTGATTTCAAATCGCATCTTGTGAAAGGAGTCACGCGCTTTGTAATTTGCACAAGAAGCAAAAACAAAAAAGTTCCCCCAAAAAAAAAAAAAACAAAAATAAAAACACCAGATGAAAAGTAAGAAGAAATAAAAAGCTGAGTGAGGAGGCAAATATTTATTGCTGGCAAAGAGTCGAGAGGAAACAAGTTTCATCTTATTGTGGGACGGACGAGTCTCGAGTCTGGGATCTCCTGCTGTGATGTAAGCACCCAAAGCACCCAAGCACCCAAGACCCCATTACCCCGCCATATAGACATTCCCAGACCCGGTCTCAATCTGGGTTCCAAATCCCGTCTAAGATTTGAGCCAAGAGCCAACTGCAAAGGTCTTGCCGTTGGGCAATCCGGCTCATTTAGAAATCGAAATCGAAATCGAATGCAGCCACGATAGGGCATCCCCCGCGATGATGGCCAGACACAAAAGCTGAGTTGGCCAAGTTAATTGTTTGGCCAAACATTTCGGTTAGTGGCCAGGTGCTAAAATGCCAAACAAACACCGCCGACAGGTGGCGCATGTCCGCCAGCCATAATTTGGACAGCTAAATGTCATCAAAAAGGAGGCTTCGCCCTGTAAAGAAATATAAATAATAATACGAGGCTGACACTTGAATTGCTAATTGAAATCAGCCAAAAGCATTTAGACCTTTGTTCGATATATTTTTCAGCACGGAGAAATTTTGCAATTTTACTCGTATATACTACTGAAAATCTATCGAAAGCTGATATTTTTGCTCTAGAATTCCAAGTGCGTCATAGCTTAGTCTAATTTAAATAATTCCGTTTAAAATTTCAAACGGTTGAGCTATATATAATATTATATTACTACTAAGAAATTCCCCGCAGTAATTGCTATTGAAGATTGATGAATCTCTGGAATATATATTTTTAATTATTAAGTTGATATGGTAATAATAAGTTCCCACACTAGCCAACCTGAATTTTACCCAACTGCGAACATGTGTAAAGTATCTTCCCAAAATCGTTAACATATTAAACGGTTGAGCTATATATTACTACTAAGAAATTCCCCGCAATAACATAGAACAGGCATTTATATTTCTAGAATTAACCCATATAAATAACTGCAGTAATTGCTATTGTAGTTGATATGGTAATAATAAGTTCCCACACTAGCCAACCTGAATTGTAGCCAACTACGAACATGTGTAAAGTATCTTCCCAAAATCGTTAACATCTCGAACATCCTCAACATGTTCCCTTGTAGAAAGTGCATTCTGACATGAGTCCCCACCTTTTCGTGTTCGTTTTCGGAATAATTTCGTCATTAAAGACATGAGGAAAACAATGTTGTGTTGAATTTGCTCAGGCAAATTTATGCCGGAGGCTTGCAGGTCAATGTATTTATCGAGAGCTGGAGATGAGCACTTTGATTTGCATAATCTCACATTAGCTGACATTATGTTTTCCTCATTTCAATGATGATGATGATGATAGACAACCTTAACTTTCCAATCAATCAGCGCACGGGAGCCGAATGCACGGCGACAAATGCCACGGCATTTATTTCGGATTCAGAGATCTGCAGCCGGTGTCGTTGGTTTGTTGCTATCTCTCGGCTGCTATTTTGCTGCTGTTTACCTTTTGATGTCGCTTCATGGCTAATGGACGCCCCTCACATGACCTTGCGATGGGGCCTTAATTTGTCACCTCAGTTGACCAAAACAAAAGCTGTGCTTAAATTACATTTAAACGACCATTTCAGCGGCCGATCGCTTAATTACAATAAATGTTTCCATTCCAAAACTGAAATAAACAGAGAGGCATCTGTACCTCTACCTCTATCATCTCAAGCATCGCCGCAAAGATATTTCTCTTTAACAAAAAATGGCATCACAAGATCTCATCACGTGCCTAATGCTAATCTCCATTTTGGTTTTTTAACGTTTTCGACTCCGTGGCTTGCCCTCTGCAGCTTGGCCCCAAGATATACATAGATATAGTAGTAGTAACAGGAACCAAGCCCAAAGCTCTAACTAAAGAAAACACCAAAAACTTGTACAAAAGTTGTTTGCTTGCTTTGTTTTTTTTCTTTTTTTTGTGTTTTTTTGGTCAGTCGTTGTTGTTTTTGGCCATACTCATGTGATCTGTACGACGAATTTTTTTGTTGGCTAACAATATTTAATAAATGCAATCGCGAGTCATCCGCATATAAGTCATATTATTTTCGATTTTGGGCAAACACTTGCTAATTGTCAACACGGATGCTGGGCGCTTATATGACGCTTTTGACCCCTAAAAATCCTTGTTCGATATCATCGAGAAATCAAGTTAAGATAAATTTCTTAGCCGGTTCTTTGGGTATCTGGCGCCAAAGTTACGAACTTGAAACTGGGTTTTTCGTCGGCTTCTTTTTTATGGGTTTCGGTATCAGAAGAGCCTCTCATGTCATAGAGCGGTCGTTGGACAATCTTCAGCCTCGAGAATATCGTGTGCCTGGCACTAAATCGATTTTTTTAACTGCTCTTCAAATGGCGTCAAGATCTGCCAAGACTCAAGACCCGAGGTCCGGTTTAACGCATTACGTAAAAGAGACGCACACAGAGAAATAAATAAATATCGATTTAATGATATTTGAAAACAATTTATACACAAAATGGGACAAAAAAGTGTAAAAAATTCCGTTAGTCAAAAAAAAAAATAAAAATAAGAAAAAGCTGCCTCCGAAAAGTCGTTCAAGTGTTGAACGTGTTGTTCACGTTATGTCAAACTAATTTCAATGACTGAGAGATGGGGCGAAAGGGCTGGTCGGTAATTTATGTATCGTTAAAGTTAAAATTTAAAATGTAATGTCGATCAGCGGACAAAAACAGCAGCAGCAGCCACAATTCATGATGCCCACGAAGATTGCGAAGACTTAGTTTAACCGGTTCGATTTTATCAGCAAAAAAAATTCGCACTTTAACCTCCTCAAGGTGGAAACGCAGTGAAAGTATTGAAAACCATAGGTAAATAATTTTCGGTAGCAGGTAAACAATACAGCTGTTCATTCAACCCATCAATGCAAAATAAGTCCTTCTGCGAAATCTTTAATTTTGCTATTTTGCTGCTTTTGTTCTTCACTCTAACTTCAATTGGTGCATCATTTTATTTTATTTGAAATAATCAAAACAAACGTGCTTTGTGTGGGAGTTTTATGGTATTTGAGAATGTCTAACGTTTCGTGATTGTTGATTGAGCCGGCAACAAACAAAACACTTTTAACTATGATGAATTTATTGGCATTTTTTCATTGCTTTTAATGCCTTAGCTATTTCCCATTCTGGCTTATTTAATAGACACATAAATTGTGCTTTAAAAACGGAGATGATTATGGAAGTGGTTTAAGTAAATGCCTTTAACACTTACAATTTATATTTGAAAAGAAAGGGAGATTGCTTTTTGTTTTTTCTCAATTAATCAATCAATAAATAATTATTTCACATAAACAAAAAATATTATAAAATTGTAATTTTAAATTACATAGTTAGGTATCTTCGTTCTTTGCAGTTAGACTTCATCATTTTTGTGTTGCGCCATAAAGCGCGCAACAAAAATTTATAATTTACAAAATTTGAGTACGTTTAAAAGTAAGCAACAAATTTTAATGAAACACAGACAACAAAAAAAAGGGTTGCATATTTTAGGGTAAGCCGTTTAAGCAACTCATAATTGTTGGGAAGTTGTCTATTAACATTTAATTATAAACAAAAAAGGAAGCTAACTTCGGCGAGCCAAAACTCATATACCATTACAGTCACACAAGAGTGGAGCAAAATGCATAAAGGCTAGACAAAATCGAAGTAATGACGATTTCTCTATTTATTTTTTCAGAGGTACCACTTCAAAATCTGATAAAAATTAGACAAAAATACGTAGTTTTTGTGTGTTTTATTAAAAGTTAACATTTTTTATTAGCATAATTTATTTGCTCTGATTTTTTAAATATATACATTTTAATTCCTAGCAATATTGAACAATCAACCTCGTGAACTGTACACTCCGTGATCTAAAAATATATCACAAATAATTATTTCTGCGCCTAGTTTGTGGAAGGCCGTCTTCACAATCGCTTCTTGGCTTCGTTTAGTTTGTAGGACTCCTCCCCTTTGAGCCACCACTTGTGGGCCCTTCGAATCATCCGCCAGGGAAGCCAGATGGCGAGGAAGGCGCCCAGCAACAGACATCCCAAGACATCCAGCAGGAGATACTGATGCAGGGGGATGAAGGCGCCCTGCGACTTCAGATGTCGTGCCCCCCGATGCCGGATTATGTACTCGATCCAGAAGGTGGCCTCGTCCAGCGGATGTATGGGATTATCGCGGAATCGCTGTGAGACCTCCAAAGCACTGCGCTTGTACAGCGGATCGTTGATCAGAGTCTCGATATTCCGCACCAGATCGTCGGTGGTGAGTTTCGAGAAGACCAGGGATCGGGCATAGCCCTCTCGCACCGATTTAATTGTGTTCCTGTGTTGATCTCCGTAGAGCGGAATACAGAGCATCGGCACGCCCCAGTAAATGCCCTCCTGGGTTCCAAAAATACCGCCATGGGTGATGAAGAGCTTCACGTTCGGATGGGCCAAGATGTCGTTCTGGGGCATCCACTTCTTGATCATCACATTCGAGGGCAAATCACCAATGGAATCGTTCTCGAACTTCCAAATCACTTGCTGCTTCAGCTGGCCAAAGGCCTTGAGAATCAAAGCTGTCTTCTCGGCCGGCAAATCGGTGCTCTTCACATAGGAACCCATGCTGAAGTAGACCACTCCATGGGTGGCTTTGTCCAGAAAGTCCTGCAGATCAGCGGGTAGCTTCTTAGGTTTCTGAATGTGAGCTCCACCCACATCTATAAGTCCTGGCATACTGGGTCTTGGCAGATCAATACTACGATGGGCATTGATTAGCACTAAGGAGATATTACGCTCAAGATCCAGAACATTAGGCAGAGGACCTACAAATAATATACAACTTTAATTTAATGTTTTTATTATCATTAGACAAACTCACCTTCAATGGACCCCTTGAAATACTTCTCAGCCAGTGCCTGCATCTTGGGCAAGTAAACCCAACGCCTCATAACCGCATCATATAAAGATAAGTAGGCATTATAAGCCCGCTGGCTGAAGGTCATCCGGTCTGTATGGGACAACAGTAGATGGGGAATCAGAGACCAGGGAGTTAGAATACCCATTGCATGATCTATATTATCTGCATAACCCATGGTGCCAATTGTAACCACCGGGCAATTAAACCTCTTGCCGAACATCAAGAAGGCCTCGTGGAAGAACTGCTCCAAAATGACCAAGTCATAATGATCATTCTTGTCCTCAATCAGTTTCTTAACTTTGGGATCCTTGAAAGCATGTTCCGTGGTCATGAGACCAATGGTCCACCAAAGCTCCAAGTTGTTGAAGTCGCTTACAAATTGCATTGTGAAGATGTTTTCCTTGGGAACTAGAAGTGGATTCATAATTTAATTAGGATTTTAAGGAGGTTTATAATATTTAACTCACAATGCTTGGGTATATCAAAGGAAGGATTAATAATAATCTCCGTTAAATTCTCATGAGGCTGCTTTGTGGGATGATTATTCACACTGGTCACATGGTGTCCTTGTTTCAGAAGATCCTTTTGGAAGTGCTCCAGCCAGAGCCAATGACTTGGAGCAGGAAAGGGTCCCATGAAGAGTATTCGATAGCCAGATCCAAAGTCCGGCAGTCCCATCAGGAAGATAAACATCCAACATTTCCACTGCAGCTGCGACTCCATCTAATTTAAATCAATCGAAATCAACATTGACAATTAACAACCGCAATTAAATTGTCAGATTTACAGATTAACATTAGCTGCAGTTTATGTTCGGTGTTTGATTTCGTTATTTGCATAAGGCAAAGTGCTTTTACACATTCTGATTGCAAAAGATTGCGATATTAATGAGATTTCTGGTTTGATGGATCTTCCAGATGGAAAATGAACGGCTGCACAAAGATGAAAGGGAAACTGTTACAACTGAATAATTAATTACAGTCAACACCTCCAATAAATGCTTATATTCCCTTACGTTCTTTGTTTACTCTGCATAAATAAATATTTAAATTATAAGTCGACTAATATGGGAATCATATCTGATCTGATTTTTTTTTCCTTTTCCATTGGGATTATTCAGTGCTTTATAGATTTAGTTTATTAAATGAACACACCTTTGGCTTTCTGACAGGGAATTGGCAGATATTGAAATGCAACGGGTTAATTTCATCATTTTCAAATTAGCAATTAATATTTAAAGTGGGCTAGACAGCATTCTTGTTTACACGCCTTTTATGGCAAATTTCAGCTTATCACAGGGGTGTTCATTTCCAGACAGCGTGGATTTCTTGCCAATCATGCTCTTTTTATTATGTTTAGACTTTCCTAACTTTACCTTATCGCTGTCTGGAAATGGGTCAGCATAACATACATAAACTATATAAAGATTACTTTTGTTTATCTGCCCTTGAAAAAGTAGGGTCGTGCTATAAAATTGGTTTAAGTGGATTTAAATTACCGCTTTGTCTTTTAATCAGATTTAATTTGCTTGGAGGCCAGGTAATAGATAAGTTCTCAATCGTAATTTAATTGCCATTCGGGTTATTTTTTTATTCATTTTCATTGAAAATTAACTATAACTTAAGGGTATTTCCAATACTGCCTGAAAATTTTCTTTTTCTTAATTTCTTTTTTTTAACTTGTTGCTTAGGTTGACGCTCTATAATAGACAGCTGGCTGAAATGCAAGTAAACATGCTACAAGTTGTCGTCATTGAGCCGTGCTGATAAATCGCATGTGGAAATTATTTTGTCATCACAACTCGTATTGCACTTTACTGTTATATTTTTATAGTGAAATTGTGTTTCCTCATAGTAGCTACCGCTCTCAGTTGTTGCTATATATGTAATTTAAGTGGAAACGCAAACTAAAGTTAGTTTTTTATGGGCTTTGGCCAAGGTTGGATGTTAGGGCATAATTGCTTTGTAATTTGTTTATTACTCGCCACCACTAATTGGTTTTCTGTTGGAAATTAAAATATTTTATTTCTTAAGTTTTAAGTGTTGGGTAAAAAAACACCATCTTGTAACAAATAACAAGATATGATCGATGAGAGGAGAGTCAAAGCACATGGTTTTTGAAAGTAAAAGTGTTTTTTTTTGTGTGGGGTGAAGTGAAAGTAGTTTGGCGCACGAATTTACTATTTTTCTTTTATTTTAAAGAAATATATTTTTGTTAACACTCTGAACATTACTAAAAATAATGTATCCACTAAAAACTGGTTACAAATTGAAATGTTTTATAGGACGGCTGCCACAATTAAACTGTATAGTTTAATCGATTTACAGTTTAATTTGATTTTAGAATTGAGATGCATGAAATCGTAGAGAACTAGATTCAAGCAAGTTCAATCTAAAACTTAATAGCTGTTGTTGTTACATCCTTTTTAATTTGAAATTTTTTAAATTAAATTAGATACCGATGTTTCGTTTTTTTAAAGATCCCTACAGTAAATAATTATTCTTTATGTTTAAATTAAAATTTTGTTGAACATTTAAATTTCTAAACATCTTTTTCTGTATCGATTGCGTCAGTGCGGACCTTATTTATATTATATTCCTGGTTTACTTATTAACCTTTATTATATCGACTCGACTTTGTTTCACAAAAAATTGCACTTGAATTATTTGCAATTGGAATTCAACAAAATTAGCGCGTCCGAATTCAAACTGAAGTTGAGAGCGAAACGCGACCGCTGGACACCAAAGTGCGGTTATCACTGATATTCGGCGTACGAAGCGCCGAACACCTCAACTTAATCAGCATTAGCCTCAGTCGCAGTCGCTGTCGCAGTCGAAGTCGAAGTCTCAGCCGACGTGAGCAGACAGAGAAAACATATAGAAAAAAAGCTTAGCTGTATCTGTGGGAATCGAGTGTTAATGCCGCCCTGGCAAAAAACCAGCGACGCTTATTGTTTGCCTTAATCTTATTGTTTGGTTGTCTCGAATGTGCGCTGTTATAATTACAATACGGTTACAGATGATTGCAAGTGTTGCCAAAATAATTATTACCTGTCAATATCACCCTTTATCCATATATGAATCACTCACGTGTCGATCAACAGATCAGCAATCGCAAACATATAATCTGTACTGCGAAATAGACTTGGCCAATGAACTTTTAACGACTGGGTTCATAATTTAATTAGACAGGGAATTTTGACAACAAACAAAAACGAACCAGGTAAACAAGATTTGGTCTTATCAACCAAAACAAAGAAGGCTGACTCGAAGTTTAATATAATAAATGTTGTTTACAATCGTAAGCACCAGATGTTGTTCGTTTTGGAAATCAAGACAACTAAACAGAATGAGTACTTGCATTTTCATTAGAAATTGCTGCAGGATACATAACTTTGAACAAATCACGAATTTCAATCTAAGAAAACTACATGCTTCGCCAGTGGGAATTCCGTAACCAATTATTAGCCGCATTTCCTTGTTCATCGGAAACAAAACAATAACCTGCACATTGAATGAGTTTATCAAAAACGTGTTTTATTTGTAAACGGAAAGTAAAACCGACATTTTTCGTGGGGAAATTACACTGGTAGTTTTTTGTGCATTCACCTTGGGAGCGGTCAAGTTCACTTCACGATAAGTCGTATCATTTAATGACAATTTATGTTTGTTGACTTTTTATGGAATGCAAGCAGACGAAATAAATAAATAAATCCAAAGATAACACAAATGTCACTTAGCCCACTGAGAACATCCAACAAATTATGGAAATAAAAAGGAAACCAAACCAAACCGAAGAAACTCCAAAATCGGCTAAAAAAGGGCTCACAACACAAGATGCCGAAACATTTCATTGAAAATTGGCACGCTTCAATGGAGCGAGGCAGAAAAAAAGCTGGGACCTCATTCGGAAGAGGGGGTGGGGAGCGAGGGGCGTGGCAGGGAGTGGGCGTGGGCGTTCACCCAAACCAGCGACGATGATGGACGAGCAATGCCCAAGGCGCTGTTTTGATGGCAACTCAAGTCATGGCCAAGAACGGCACTTTTGATGCAAACGATCGCCAGGAGAGGCCACCAAAAGGAAAATATTCATTCACAAGATCGCAGTGGACATGCCACAATGAAAATGAATGGCCTGTAACAAAAATGTCGGAGGAAAAAAGCCATAAGAAAATGGTGAGGGAACAAACAGCTCATTAAAGCAGAGGCAAATAAAATAAAACATTGAATAATTCAATCTTCCAAGGGGGAAAATTAAAACCAGTTAGAAAGATTAAAAAAGATTTGTTGGGATTGTCATTAATTAAGTTTGAATTAAAACTAATTGAACAGTTATCCTATTACATAAAAACCGGGAGCAATATATAGATAAAATAATTACTTTTAATTAATATACAGTAGAAAATATATAATAAATCAACCCCTAACGACTTAATTGTATGATTCACTCTGAATCATTTACGAGGTGCAAACGACAAATTGTCCAAAACACCAAGCCCCATATAAGATTGCTTTGATCAATGAAACTATAAACCATTCAGCAAAAGCCCAGCCCAAAATAAAAATTGACTAAAATGGGAATGAATGAGCACTATTTGTTAGTTTGCGCCAATTTTATGTTGACTTTGCACTTCAGTCCCCGTAGAAATTAGGGTAAATCAAACACAAGCGCATGGGAGCGAGACCTTTTGTATCTCATGCTGCCATTAGTCTCTATCTATCAATCAATTAAGCCAACGTGCGCTTTTCCCAGATAAAGACACCATCGAACATCGAACAACGAATGGAAACCTAACCCCACGATGACACTGACAATTTCCACGGAACGATGGCCTTTCAATTCGATCGCTTCGCGTTGCGCGGGGCAATTAAAAATTTCACCCAAATAGCAAACGTTGCGCATGATTAGTCAATGATTTTGAGAACTTCGATCCGAACCCGCATCGGAAAAACTCAAACACACATCAGTCAGCGGGTGGTCGAAGTACCGACGATGGCAGAAAATTGTTGAGAGTCGCGAAGGGAGAGAATCTTGTTTTGGCAGCTGTCAATGTGTCAATATTAATTTAATATGTCGAAAGCAGAATTCAGCACAATTTAAAATTGAGTTATAATGTGACACACGAGATGGTCTCGAAATGTCTGGTACTTCTGGGGTTGTAAACAGAACTCAAGTGGTTGTTGGGAATTCCCGATGGTTCAGTGACCAACCCCGCAATCTCAAGTATTTGCTTGTATTTCGGTAGCCTTAACCTCGACCAATTTGTTAATGAGCAAATTACATGGTCTTGGCTTATAAATTCCAAGTTCGTTACCTCCGCATAGCATAAACTATCAACCAGAACACAGGACACGCCCTCAAAGTGATTCACTGCCGGTGGAACTCCCCCACATTTACTGGGAATTTTTAGGCATTTTCCGTCGCGATAGGCAAACAACTATAAAAACTGTTGAGGCGTAAAAGGATGCCCAGGCCCTTAGGAATATGGAGTAATGGTAAGAGCACTTACCACTTCCTTTCGAGATAGCGCTATCAGGGTTTTCACGGTGGGTTATAGACTGCTGATCCTCCATGGTTGAGTTGATTCCTTGAGGAGTTGTGTTTAAAACAGAAATATTTCTCATTGTTAGTGTTTCTAAAGTGGTTTCGGAAATAATAATATTTTTAAGATTGTCACGGTGTTCTTTAGTTTTATAAGGTTTCTTAAATACGACAGTAAAGTTAAGAAGTAGTAAATAGTAAAGCGAACTTCCCTTTTTTGATCTGCCTTTATTTTATAATTTATGATGGCTTAAGGACATAATTCCATCACCAAATGTTTTCAATTTTATACTCCCATTTTGGGGTAGAATTTTGCTGAGTGGCACCGAGAGGGTTGCTCTTTATCTCTAAAAATAAAGAACACAAATTTGAATGTATGACTAAGATAGTCTGCGCAAATACACAGAAATATGTCTGAGCCACTTGACAACCCTGCTGAATGCAAACAACTCGTGTACATTATTCAAGTTTTCCTGCCCCAAACATACTATAATACTTTCGAAACGCATTTGACTCCGTGTCTATCGCACTGGGGCTTTATCGTCAATTTGGTTTCGAATGCTATTTCGGATTTCACCCAAGGCATTTTCAGCATTTCCCATTCTGTTTCCGATGGTGGTGCTCTTGCTTCCCTGGAGCAATTAGTAAAAGTGCAGTTTTATGTGTTTATTTTTACATATGCCACAGCTGTGTGGCCTAACCTAGATCTACGTGGACGTTCGCGCTGCCACTCCTCCGGAACAATTTTCGAGAACACAAATTGTGCGTGATATGGAGTCGTTGCTGTCGCCGTTATCGGGAACAGCCCCTAAGGATTTCACTTCGCGCTGCAGTTGTTCAGCCTTGAAAGGGGGCGTGTAATCGAAGGAACACAGAGAAAAAACTCAATACCTTACAAATAGATTATTAAGATTCAATATCTAAAAAGAAACAGCCATTTTTTTATGCGTTTTAAACGGTTCAGATGTATTATATAAACGAGGAGTGTGCAATCTATCATTTTTTATCTTTTAAAATTAGAAGAAAAATGTTCTTTACCAAAATAAGTTATTTAAAATATTTTATGATTTATAATAGGCAAGGCAATCATAAATTTTATTTTCTTAGTTCCACTAGCAATTAATAACAACTTTCAAATCTAAAGTTATGATATATTTGTTTGATCTATGTTAATATTAGCACAACTATTTTTACCATGAAAATTACTAGTTTTTGTCTCAGCATCTATAACTAAACTCCCGCCCATTTAACTCCAGACCTTCCCTAGGTGTTTTTATGTGATTTTGTGCATTTAATTTATTAATGAGCTAACCGCGGCGAATTCTTCATTTGCAGCGCCTGATTTATGTGGCATTTGCCTTCGGTAGGAATTTCTGATGGCTGTCAGGGAGGTCAAACGATCTCTGGGTGCGGGTCCTTCCATTTGGGTGTCAAAGGGTTCATTAGCACGCCAAAAGGACATATTTACACAACAAAGCAGACGAAGGGCGCGATGGCAAACCAGGAACCGTGTGACTTATGTAACTTAATAGGCTGATGAAAAATGGTTAAGAGATTTTTATCACTCAACATGCAGCGACAGACAGAGGAAGGCAAACAACATGTGGCAGAGTCGGAGGCAAAGGCGATGCCCCAGCCGAATTGCAGCCACATGTGTGGGTGCACAGGAAAAAAATCATTAATAAAGTTGATCCTATCTGTTAAAAATAATTCTTAAGTACTCAAATGCTGGAAATCAAATTTCTAACTCTTTTCCAGATGTTTATCCTCTCATTTTATATTATTTTCCTGGGGCTTGGCATTATTTTCTGATTTACGTATAAAACATCTTGTTGTTTTAGATAATAAGATATTTTTTCTCTCTGTAAGAGCCCCTGCCATCCACAATGAAGATGAAGATCATCAGAGAGCAACCGCAGCAACGTCCAAGCACCGCTAAACAAATTGAAAAATTTCAAGTCCTCAGCCTCTTTGCGCTCGCAATTGCTCAATCCGCGTATTTTCGCGTGCTGGCTGCACAGGAAAATGAAAAGGAAAAAGGGGGAAAATTTTGAGAGCACCCGGCACCGAGAAAATGAACAACCGAACTACCGAGTGTCATCAGCGATGAGCAAGGAACCATTTCAATTTGGTGAAGGGGTGAATGGATCTTCAGACAATCATCATATAGTATAGAATTAATGATGTCGAAAGAATGGAAAACGAAGACATTTTCTCATTAAAGTATGATTCACTTTGTAATACCAGGAATGCATGACAAAGAACACAAAACCATATTTGGCTTTTAACATAAAGTTAAATATTGTCAGCCTAGAATATTATGGCTTGGGTTCGAAAAAATTTAATTTAATTAAAAAACGTATTTTTTAATTTTCGTGAAGAGTACTCTACAACAAAGGCTCATTAAAAAAGAGCAATATTAAGTGCCCATGTCTAATTGAACCTTTTAGTCATACACCTTTTTAATCAATTACGAGATATTCTTACACAATTACTGATAAATATCTTAAAATAATTAGGACTCGTTCAAAAATTCTGTATAGTGTCCACAACGGATTTATGAATCCTTAATTAAGTTTCAACATATTAATAAGTAAAATGACTTTCTTAGTCTTTAACTCCATAGAACCATAAATTATCTAGAGTTTAAAAAATTCTTGATTATTTTATATGACTTATCTCCCCATTAACTGGTTGATTCCTGGCTATCCCTTTCGCATCCCTCGGCTGCCGGCGGTCAGCTCATCACTGCTATCTAGATAGAGATACATATTGGGCTCGCGTTCGCCTTTGCCTCTGCCTCTGCGTTTGCGTTCGCGCGTTTGCGGAGCGGAGCGCACGAAAGCGACTCGCGGGTGCGCCATGGAGTGGTGGCATGAAATCGACATCGGAGGCATCTGCGGCGCCTTTCAGGCCTCCGAGGGAATCGTTGGGGTCTGGGTCTCACTGGGCACTTCGAGCGAGCGCACAACTGCGTGCGGAATTTTCTTTCCTCTCGGCTCAGTCTGTGAGAAATCGTCGGCGTGTTCGGTTCGTTTGCTTATCGGAAATTTGGAAATTCGGAAAATCGGGAAATTCGGCTGCTTTTTTGTTGCGGGTGGCGGCAATCGGAAAAACGCGGAAAACTCTGCTCGCCCCATCATAGTTTTTCCGAACGTGAGTGGGACAGTGTGTGCGTGTAAAAAATAGAAATTTAATTTATTTTTAAGTTTCCGTTTCTCCCTTTCCATTCTAACGATACTCTTTGGATTCTGTCGGCACTTTTTCGCTAAGAATTCCGGCTAAAAACTCGTTGTGAATGAAAGCGTTTGTTGTTGGGCCTTTTGATAATATCTAATTGGGGAAAACACAAAAGATACAGAACTTTGCAAATTGACCGTGAATGCGGCTCATTCCGATAATTCTGTGAAAATTGCTAAAGGGCTAAGACAAGAAAATTCTGTGATCTCAACGGAAGTAAACGCGAGATGTGTGCGCAAGCAGCTAAGAAAATGTAATATAAATCATTTCACTTTGAGGTACAAGAAGTGTGAAAAATGGGGTGCTGAAATATTTGGCAGAAAGTCGAAAAAATTAGGTAATGAATTAAATTGTGTGAAAATTTTTTTTTTTTGCATTTGCCGAAATGTGAAAAACTTAATTTTGTGCCAAATTATAGAGTGAATTCAAATGAACCATAAAAAAATAATAATTAATTATAGAAAAGTGAAAGATTTATTCATTATTTATAAGACACCAAATAAAAACAATATTATTTATTTTATAAATTTAAAAAGTGTTTTTGGGTTAAGAGAATTTTTTAACCACATATAGTAAATCAGATAAAGCTTTCCCAAAGTTCAAACTGTACTGAGTTCATCCCGCCCGTGGATATATGCACCAATAAAAATCATATTTGTGACATATGGTGTAGAAATCGCAACGGAGCACAACTCCATTCATCAATCGCGGTGCTCGGCGATCATAAATCACAGTGGTTAAAAAGAGTGTGACTAAATCATCGACTGCAGCTGAGTAGGAGAAAAAAGAAATAAACTCCGCACACCTTGGAGGCCTTCGAGTTAGGAAAGCGTTCAAATCGGCGTGGGCAGCGACGCCTACCAATTTTCCATATGAAAATGGCTTATCAAATCAATTTTCGATTTGAAAGAGCGGTATTTTGTTGGCCTTTTGTTTCCCCAAAATCTTGTGTGCCACCAATTTTTTAATTACCATAAAAAATATAAACTAGTCTCAATGAAAGAACTTTCCCAAAGGGCAGATAGCGGCAGCTGGCGGACTTATACTATCCGGTAGATACATTTATTAATTTTTATGTAAATCGTGAAAAGTTGAGGGGGAAAATCGGGGGAGGGGGGAGAACACGCGTCTGTCATAAAATGCACCCTGGCGATTGTCACTTTATTTTTTCGGTTTCGGTGTCGTCTGCAGTGGCAAGGCGTTTCAAATTGTGTTTTGACTGCTGCGACGGGGCTATAAAAATATTCGAAACGACAAGAACCTGGGCGGTGCATATAAAAATTAACAAGCAGAATTAGCAGAGCGAACTTAACAAGAAACCAAGACACGACGACTCCCATTCCTGGAGGCTGTGTGCAATTGACCTCATGATGTCGAACCTGCCGCAGTTTCGTTCTGCATTTTCCCTCAAGAAGTAAAAGCATAAGCAAAGGACTTATGCAGGCCCGAATGTCTGACAGTATTTTTAGATACCGCCGGCGTAAATAATTCATTTTCCAGTCACAGTCGTTGACGTTTTGGCATCGCCCCGAGTTTCCCCCATTTCCTTGGGGATTTCTCCCTTGGGACTGCAAGTCCCTTTCGATTTGCATTCTAAACTTGAAAGTGTACTATTTTGGGGCCAAAGAATCTCTTCGGCTACCCATGAACTTTGACTTCTGTTGCAAAATCTCGAACTAGAAATTTCACTTTATAAGACGAAAATCCCTCAAATTGCCGGGCAAGAAGAGCTTAAGCTGTCCAACCACTTAAGGCAACTTTTTATGGGCGATCCCCCCGCTTCGACAGCCCGAAAAAAAAATACAATAAATTTTACTCAACTGTGCAGCAATTTCCACTGAAGTGGAGGAGCGCACTCGTATCTCGGACTCGCTGCGGCAGCAACTCAATTAAGTCTCCACAAAGTATCTGCAGATACGCTAATCAATGATATATATGTATTCTCATATCTAACCCCAAAGCTGCGGAGGTCTCGGGTACTTGAATTTATTAGAGATTTGTTTGTCTTAAAATCTATGGCAATTAAAATAGCAAATGAATGACTCAAGTGGGGAATGTATATAATATCGAGGAATATAAAATTAAATTGATCATGAAACCAATGCAAATAAACATGGTTGAGCGGGCAAAACAAACCATGAAAATAGTGTAGAACATTTGTGAAATGAAAACTTGTAAAAATGATTGAAGAAATAAATAACAACTAAAGTATTTTTCAGGATATATAATAAATATAGTATAAAATAAATCAAAGTGCCATAAAAATTGATTAAGAAAAGCCTTTCAAAAAAAACACAATTTAATATTCCCCTTTAAAAGAGACATTTCCCCAACTGACCAATTAAAAATGCATAAAGCGCGCCATAAAATCCCGGTAAAAATTTGAATAAAAAAGGAAAGCAAATACGTAATGGCCATAAATCTATTTCCAATTACAGTGAAGTGCAATTGCCAAGAAAAATAACAAACAAACGGCTAAGCTAGGCGCATCAGTCGTCAGTGCCAATGTGTTTATGATAAAACTCCAACAAAATTGAAACGTAATCGGGCGAAAGTTGCCCGTCGCCGGCGAAGTGCGTACATAAACGGGCTGGTAAATTAAGAGGAGCAGAGGAGCCCAGGGAGCTTCAAAGGAAGCCAGTTCGACTGTCACTCAGTCAGTCAGTCAGCCAGTTGGACTGTCAGCCATATTCGAGGTGATTCCCCTTCTGTCAACGCAATGACATGCGGCATCTGTCTATGTGGCCCGATGGCCAGGACGTGATGCTGTGCCGCTGTTAGAGAGAGGAAGCCCCGATGTTCCGATCCCCCGATGATGCTATTTTTATGAGGCCCCAGACTACGACGACGACGGATGCGTGGCCCCATGAAAAATCAATTAACACGCAAAATTATTAAAGACGAAAAACAAAAACGAGAACTCGAACGCAAACGCGAACGCGAACGAACGAAGCGCGAGTTTTACTTGGGGTTCCGGGATCTGTGCGGTGCGTTTTCCCCCCAATCACCCCAAACACCCCATCATCGGATCATCCTTTTCCCGATCATCCCAACACTTCTGGCGTACATAACTTCAAAGCAGCTGCAACGGAATGTCGCGCCTCCGTGGATTAGGATGCCTGCTATTGCTGGCCATGCTGCAATTGCAATCTGTCGCAGCCATGAAAGGTGAGTAAAAAAAATGTTAATAAAAAAAAAGAGTTACCAAGAAGCTGCGACACGGGACGTACAGTTAATTAAATGTTACGACAGTCAGGTAGCCAAAGATACGCGCCCCAGAACTTAATACCGCGCATAAACATGAGATTTATCATGGCAAATGATCAACGCACGATTTATGCTCATTACAAATATGGCCAGCCACGAATTGGCCGCCAAGCGAAAAAAGAAACAGAATAACGCGATCCAGAGAGGCAGAAGCAGCTGAAGCCAAATTGCATTTACTTTGGCTGCCATCGAAGCGGACATAAATAAAAGTCAAAATAAAGAGTTGCAAATGGTGCAATGCCACATACATTTTGGTGTTACTCGCGTGCGCTAAAGAACAGACACTGTGGGCTTTTTAGGCAGAAATCGTGCTTAAAATGGGTTCAAAAATGGTAAAAAAAAAAGATTTGGGTTACAGATTGTTAATTAAAAAATGAAATAAGGCCAGTTTTGTTTGACAGATTAATACAACTTTCATATAATACTTATGAAATGTATTTGCAATGTCTTTATCAGCTCATATAAAATATAAAAAAGCATTTTGTGGAATTATTTAACTCAAAAATTATTTTATACAATGTAATTCCATTAGTATACTTCTGCTATAAAAAACCTTCTTCTTTCGTAACTCTTCCCACGAATATCTCATTTTGACCTGTTGAACTTTTGAAAGATTTATGTCAATCCATTTCTCCAACTAATTTGACCAACTGGTCGCCCTCCACTTTGGGCTTCCTTCCTGTCGCTATCTATCCAGATACATAGCGTGTTCGGCTCAGCGGTTTGGCATTCGCAACGCTCCATGGTAACCCCGACTGGCCCATAAAATCCAACTACTTAACTACAATGCGCCGCTGCAGTGCACTTAACGCATTTTTCACGCTTGACATTTGACTTGGGGCGCACTTTTCTCGTTGTCGTCGTCGCCTTACGCTGCCTTCCTTTGTTGTTGGAAAAAAAGCGAGGAAAACGCTGAGTATTTCAAACTCGAAGTATCTGTGCGGTGCACCGCAACCAAAAGCTATCCAAAGCCGGGCGTGCTCTTAATTTCGTTGTATCTACACGAGGAGACACACAGAAATATGTACGATATTTTGGTCTTGGCGCAAATGTATTTTTAATGATATTTTTAGTTGGCATGTGACGTCACTTTGGGGGCTAAGAAGCCAAACGTGAATCATCCGCAGTAGGCGCAAATTGTTTTTCTTATATTTTTTAGTCTGCTTTATTTGGTTTGGATGTGCACTTAAATAAATATTATTTTTACAAATTAAACCATTTACGAAATGATTTTAGAAATTTAAATTTTTTGATTTTTGTGCCAAGAAAAATAGGCGGCTCTTTTGAAATCCTTTTTTCCATAATTGTTTGCTCTTTATTTTATAACCCACTTAAATTTTATATCAATCAACTCATAAGAAATTAAATTTTTCCTGCGTGTGCTTTTAAATATATGTTTTTTATTTATACGTGAATGTAAATCATTTACACGCGCAAAGCGTTGTGCCAAATTTAACATAGACGTGTGTGGATACAAATGTATCTACGTGGTTGTATCCGTATTTGTATCTGGTGCACGCCATCTGCCGAACTGTGTGTCGCCTCTTGATTATTCATTCGCATTTGCAATATAAATATCAGCACATGCTCAATGCTAACTGCAGGCGCAGTAAAAAACGGTTGCATGCAAATAAAAAATACGACAATTTATTTTGGCGACATTGTGCTCTTCTTCTCCTTTTTTCCCCCTGAGTCATGAGAAAATTCGTCTTTATGACTTGTCGATGCGATGCTCAATTGCCGATGGCTTAGGGGTAATATCGCAGATATATAATTGAATTTTATGCGGCCCCGGAGTCTAATTAGGGTGAAGACGTTAGCCATGGCGACACATGTGCGCCCATTGGAGGCCATAAAACGAGGGAAGCGGCAGGGAAATGCCAACTCAAAGGGGTTCTTCAGAGCGGTTTTTATTTGATTTAGATTGATCTCTTAAGCCGTCGGAAGGGGCCTTAGAATGTGGCAACGATTGTAAATGGGCGAGGAAACTATTTTCATGGAGCACTTGGAAGATCACAGGAATTACTGCAATGATTATGGCCAGCGAAGAAATTTAAGGAGACATTTGGGGATTCTCGAGAAAGCAACGAAATATTAATGTTTTTCTTCCGTGGGAAACAACTTGAAAACTTGAATAACAAATTTGTTTAAGGTTCCATTGAAACGAGTTATGAACTGCACAATTTAATGCATATTCCATTAAAGAGAAATCTTTAATTCGATCAACTTATTGGAACCGTTTTAATACACCGATCACCTCGATTTCTTAGCCAATAAAGCAGGAATCTCATTTCTCATGCTCGACTATCAATTTGCCTATTAACGTCCATAAGCAGAACTCGGAGATCCATAAATTTTAACTGCACGTTGCAACAAAAATGCACTCAAGATCACGTATTAAGTCCACAAATCACAAGCACCACTCATAAACTTTGACATTATTAGTGAAATGAAAAAATAATTTATAAATTGCCAATGTCAGATAACGTTTTAATGAACAGCGACTTCGGCGGGCCACCAAAGGAGCATTAATTAAAGACCAAAATGGGAAGCGAAGAAAAAGAGGAACATGGCCATAAAATCTATAGAGAAGCAAAAACCGAATAACTCCAAGAGCCGTGGAGACAACGGGCGACATATAACTCAAATAAAACAAACATTGGCCATAACATAAATATTCGCTGGCTACCTAGCCAGCTCCACCTCGGTGCTGCATAAAAGATAAACATAAATTCAGCATTGGATAGGGGAGCTGCATTTGGTGGGGCCTTTTGGCGGTGCACTACCATAGTGGTGGTGCTGCCGAGTGGGTGGAGATGGCGGTAGAGGTGGAGATGCCCGGCATCTGTGGCCATAAGTCTTCTGTGTGTGTCGTGTGCTCGCCTCTGATGTTTTTCCCCATTTTTGGACGGACTTCTCCTGATGATGTCTCATTTGTTGCCGGCCGACATTTGAAATGACTTCTGACGCTGATGTTGATGTTGATGTTGATGCTCGGGGCTGCTCGGCTCCGTCTGCACCACATTTTGTTGATGCAAATTGCATTTATTGTTAAGCGCTCAACTTCCTGAAAGGCGTGTGTTTGCCCTCACAAAGGGTAATTTCCTCGACCGAGATTGGCAGTGCGGAAAGCTTTTTATGACGAGACATTTCGCTTGTCTGTTAAGGCATTAAATCTTTTTAGCCAAAGGATTATCATTAAGATTTGGTATATCTATTATAATGCCTACTCTTCAAAGAAATTGTAGATAGACAGATTGATTTTTGGACGCTGCTGATTATAACTCATACAAAATATACCTTTTAATTTTCTTAAATTTTTTAAAATATATTTTATTGCAAGTTACGCGGGAATACGTAATTTAAATAATTACAAAATAAAGGCAAACTTTTGTTTATTAGTTTATTATTTAATATATTTATTACTCATCTCTTTATTACTCATTTAAAGAATTTAACATGAGTTTCAGCTTTAAGAATCTATTATTGCATTTAAAGAATTTGATATGAGTTTTAGAATCTATTATTGCAAATAGCTTTTACCACAACAAATATGTTAAAAGGGTATTCAAATTTTCGGTGACCATTCCCTGGTCCACTTTGTGTGTTATTGTTTAACCAACGATAACGCCTCCACATCTTTGTGCGGCATTGTTTTGGTTTGAGGCACGCGCATCGGATGAAGATGAAAAAGTAGCATTTCAGCGGCAGCCGAGTACAAATTTGGGTCAAATGCAGGGGCCCGCAGATGGGAAAGTGTTTGTTGGGTTTTCCGCCGCCTTTGACGCCTGATTGCTGCTAATTGGCGTCAAAATGGTTCGGCCAACGCATCAATGGTTGACTATTTGTTGCCCATTTCGCTTTGTTTGCCTGTTTATCCGGCCGTCTGCTGTTTGTCTGCCATTCGTATGCAACTGTTTCGTGTTTATCCTAAGTTTTCTATGTGGGTTAGGTCAATATGTCGTCCCAGAAAAAGTAGCAGCAGCAAAAAACAAAACACACATAAACAAATGCCGTCGAGCTGTGGGAGAAATTCTTAAAATATCTCACGGAAAGTTGCGTTCCATGTTTTGACAAATGTATGTTTCCAAAATAATTTATTGCACAAGCGTACACCGCAGAGTATAGAAAACCATTAATCATGCAATTTTTACGAGGTGGCATCGACTCGAAACCTGAACGAGAAATTCGAAATTATTCAGAGAACGTTCGAAGTTGTCATACTCTTCGGTAATTTGAGGTACAAGCGTTTTCCCAAGAGAAGCACGTTCGTTTCTAATTAAGCAAATCAAGATACAAAAGATGGCTCTCAATAGATAGCCATATAGATAAATGACTGACTGACTGACTGACTGACTGACTGAATGACCTCGACAGACATTGACTGACAGGCCGACAGCTGATGGCCTGATCTCCAATGATCCGATCTGGACAAATTTGTATACCGACTGCAATAGAAGGCGATTGCCAATCAAATTGGCGGCAGCTCTTGCAACATTATAAGCAGCGGCCTGTTTAGTGTTTCCATCAAGAGCAGCTGCAAGTGTACCTACGTACTATACTATACTATATATCCCCATATTTATAGCCATCGATATTTTAAAAAGCTTTCTATGTCAAGGCGTAGAGTAACAAAGAAATTTTTTATGACTTTTTCTATCAGTTTGAGGGACAATAAATCAAATCTGCCTACAACTATAAACTATCTTAACTGCTAAGTTTTTTTGAGAGTTTATAGGATCTAGTTTTTAAGATTTTTCTACTTTCTTCTGAATGAAAGGTATTTAATATTTCTTTTTCTCATAAAATCCCCAACTCACCCACTTATCTCTGCTGTATCCAACTTTGCGATTTCAATTTGTCCGTGTCGCTCCACCCACAGTGTCCCTCTTCGGCGATGGCTACGTATCGATGCCGCTGCAGGAGGCCAAGATGTCAACGAACATCCGCGTCAAGTTTCGCACCAGGCAGGAGAACGCGTTCCTCTTTCTGGCCGCCGGACGGACGGACTACTGCCTGCTGCGCCTGGAGAGCGGCCTGGTCAGCCTGAGCTATAAAATCGAACGGGATGTGGTGCAGGTGAGCCATCGGCAGTGGATGCTCCTAACATATGAGTGTGATTACAGCCATTCCGGTTACAGCTGCGATCGCCCAAAAAGCAGAGGCTCAACGACTTGGAGTGGCACGATGTGGCGGTGCAGCGGTTCGAGAACAACATCACCTTGCAGGTGGACGGCTATATAATGCGAAAACAGCTGCCGGGCGACCTCACCGCCCTCAATATCCATTTCGGTACTTTTCTCGGCGGAGTCGGGGACTTTACGGCCGCGTTCTTGGATGATGTGATCGGATTTCGGGGCTGCATTTCGGATGTGAGTAATTTGAATCGAGGGAATATAATATTCAAGTTATTTATAAATCTGAGATAATAAAAAACAAACATGAAATAACATTTTCTTGACATTAAACTAAGGAGGTAGTTCAGATTTAATTTTAGATTAATAAATATTATTTATACTCAAAAATAAAAATCCTTAAATTTTCAACTACAAGAAATTTATAGCGTAAAAAATTTAAAATCTATTAAATAAAATATTATTTTATTTTCAATTATAATAATATTATATTATTCTTTCGAATAACACAATAACATATCAATAGTTTGCAAAATTAAGAAAAAAAAGATTACTTTATTTTAAATTATATATATTTTTAATGGATTGCATAAAATCCTTTTTATATAATTTTGTTAAATATTTCCTTTTAGGTCTTTTACAACAACATCAACATCATCAAGCGGGCCAAGGACCGCACGAGTCACACCACAAGTACCGGAGTCTCCTGGACCTGCAGCACTGAGTTCGATGGAACCCTGCAGGACAGCATTAGCTTCATGAAGAATGATTCCTATGCACTAATGCTCAAGGAATCGCATGCCATTGGGGAAACGTGAGTTCCAGAGCCACAAACCTCCCACAAATCCCCCTCAACTATTCAGCTCTTAACCATTTCTTGCAGTCTCTCGCTGCAATTTCGAACGATGGCCAGTTCTGGTGTGGTTTTCTTCAACGGCGGCTACGACTTTGTGCTCCTCGAAATAGACGACCAGCGCTTGAAGGTCACCTTCAACAAGGCCGGCAGTCTGGTGCAGTTCATGACAAACGAGCTCATCTCCGATGGCCAATGGCACAAGGTTCTGTTGCGCTACAACGCCGCGATTGCGGAGCTAATCCTCGATGATAATGCCACCGGCGGCTATCGGGGAGCGCACGCTAATGAGACCAAGGCGAGCATAAATCTCGAGAAGAGCGTCTTCTTTGGCGGCGTCCAGGAGGAGATGCGCCGCCGGCTCATCGGGAAGGGACTGCGGATAAACGAGATCAGCTTCAAGGGCTGCATGCGCGACATCCGGGTCAACGATCTTCCTCTGGGCTTCGCCGAGATGACCATTTCGCGGAGTCTGGCCCTCAGCTGCCTGTGGAAGTACCCCTGTGTGGAGTACAATCCCTGTCTGAAGAGCGGAGTGTGCAGCCAGAATGGAGTGGACGGGTTCATCTGCTACTGCGATCAGTCCTACTGCATCAAGGCTGATTTTCAGGGTCCCTTCAAGGTAAGTGGGTCACATTTTAAATACAATGAAAACATTTAATTAATTAGGAATGCATTAATCATTATTTATTTAAGTTATTAATATTATTCGTTCTATGATCATTTTAAACAAAATGTTCCTTTATTTTATTTATTTATAACTATCAGATCTTCACCGAAACAAGTCCCGAAATCGAACTGCTGTACGTTTCTCCCATGCAACTTTTGGAAGGCGGCACCGCCTTTCTCTCACACCATTTCATAGACATCATACTCGACTTACGACGCTATCCCAGCCTCAACGAACAGTCCATTATTTTCCACGTGGTCCATCAGCCAAAGTTTGGACAACTATTGCAATATTCGCCTGAGAATAAAAACTTTGTGCCCTGTCGCACATTCAACCTCGTTGATTTGGCCACCGATAAACTGAAGTATGTGCACAACGGGCAGGAGAACTTCAACGATCATGCCACATTGGATATGCAGGTCTTTGGGGATGTGAAAAAGATACCAGAGAATATATTGGGCAAACACAGGTTCCTATTGCACGCGAATATAACACCCATAAATGATCCGCCTCAGTTGAAACTGCATTCGCATAAAATCCTGCGAGTGATCGAGGGAATCGAAAGGGTACTCGATGTGGATCTGTTCAACATTGATGATCCCGATAGCGAAGCTGGAAACTTGATCTACACCATATTGCCGGCACAAAATCCCCAAGAGAAGTTCGGTTGTTTTGTTGTGGGAGCTGTGACCACCTCAACCTTTTCGCAGGCGGATGTGAATGTGGGAAAAGTATCGTATCTGTACAACTCGACCACCGCGGAATCGTTCAGCTATCAGCTGCAGTTGCAAGTATCGGATGGCATCGAGACGAGTGCTACGGTCTATCTGCCCATTTCGGTGCATCCGCTGGAACTTCGGCTGGTCAACAACACGGGTCTCATCATGATCCACAAGAGCTCGCTGCTCCTCAGTCCCGCCAATCTTTCGATCGGCACTAATGCCGTGGACGAGCATATAGACATTAGGTACGATATCGTGAAGGCACCGCAGCACGGAGTTCTCCAGCGGCTGCGGCAGATTGATGGCTCCTGGGTGAACGTGGACTGGTTCAGCGATAGCCAACTGCTCCTCGGCCACATTCGCTATCTGCACAGCAGCGATTTCCCTTGGCAAGACGAATTCAAGGTGTGTATCGTAAAAAAGGCAAACCAAACACGAGTTTGGCCATAAATGGGCAGACAGCCAACACTGAGTTGCTTGTTTTTTTTAGGGGGAAATAGATTTTCGACAGTCACTAGGCTCAAAAAGATTTCAAGCTTTCTCTGGGGTTTCCCAATTTCACGGAAATCCATCACATGTCAGTGTGAAAAATTAAAAAAATTCTATGTGTCAAAAAGATTTAATTGCTTAAAGAGAAACTTTTTTTATAAAGTTAAAACATATTTTTAAGATTAATATTTTTCGTTTCCTTTTGGATAACCAATAAAACACGTATTAAAATCTATAAATTTTTTAAAATAACCTTTTGCTTGAATTGGTAAACCTCTTACAAAAAAATCGAAATTATTTCCATCTTGTAAGCAAGTTTTCCACTCCCAACTGCTCTGTTTTCTTTTCCTTTGCTGCGATTCCTATCAATTTCCTTGCTGTCCAGTGTAGCCAATAAATTTGCATTGATTTCACTTTCACAGTTTATTGCCTCGTTTGGCTTTGTGACCACGCAAACGTTCGACTTCCGCATCACTTTTACGCGGCTGCGAATAACGAGCAGCCGACCCTCGCAGATTTCGATCGATGGCAGCCGGGAGATTCTGCTGACCAGCGAGGTGCTTTCCTACGAGACCACGCCCATCGGGAGCTTTCCGCGCAACGTGATCTACAAAATAACGAAGCCAACTCGATACGGGGGAATCTACGTGGAGGGATCCAGGAAGGCGGCCAAGGAACTGGACTCCTTCACCCAACAGGACATCGAGAAGCGGAGGATCCGATATCAGACGCATCACACGAGTTACTCCCGATTCACAGATCATCTGGAGTTTGTGGTCTCCGTTGCAGAATGCGATGATGTGGTGGGAATTCTGGAGATTAACTACCGACCTCCCGAGGAGCTAATCAACAAGCTGAGCTATCAAACTAGAGAGATTCTTCAGGTTCAGGAGGGAGAAAGAGCTCTAATCACAAAGAATCACTTTGAGATTCGCTTCAACATCTACGAGAGTCTGCAGTTTCAGGTTTCAAAGAGTCCCGAACATGGTGTTGTATGCAAGTACGATGAGCAGATGGGTCTCACAACCCCCATAGAACTTTTTACCCTGGAACAACTCTTTCGGAATGACATATACTACTGCCATGATGATACGGAATCCACTAGAGATACCTTTGAGTTGCTCATTCTCTCTGGCGATGAAACAGATCTTCAGTTTGTTTCCAATATGGAGGTGCACATCAAACTAGTAAACGATAATGAACCTTATCGCAGTGCTTTGGAGAGAATTTTCCATGTGGTGAGGAATGGCATAAGAACTCTAAATCCCACAGTGCTTCAATATCTGGATGCAGATGTGAATACCAACCACACGGATATCCACTATATTCACATTTCCAGCACCAATGGAGCTTTCTACAGGAATGGTCACTACGTCGACAGTTTCAGCCAGGATGATATAGGCAACCGGAGGATCATGTTCCAGCATACGGGTGCTGATTCCGGAACTGCATCGTTTATAGTCACCGATCGCGAGCACGAAGTTAATGGTTTGCTGGAGATCCGAGCCTCCGATCCTTTCGTTTCCATGATGGCCACAAATGCATCAATTGTTCAAGAGGGAAAATTTGTGGTACTCAAGAACAAGGATTTCATTTTGGAGACCAATTTGGACATGAAACTGGATGAGATATATTATGAAGTTATCAAACCACCCTCGTATGGCATTCTCATGTATTTGAGTAAGGCGAATGAGGGCGAGAATGGTACTACCATCTATAAGGCCACAAATTATACTTCCCTGAGCAATTTTACACATTTGGATATTGAAAGGGAGAGATTGGTTTACTGGAATACGGAAATCGCCTCAATGGATAAAGTTAGGTAAGGATTTATCAAGTCAAGTTTTATTTTTAATTATTATTTCTTAAAAAATTACTATTCTTTAATCTTATAGATATCGTGTGCACATCAAAAACATTACAGCTGAAGGAGAAGTCATGTTCCGAATTTATCCTTCTGCTTATTGGGAGCCCTTAAATGTAAAACAAAACCACACACTTTATGTAGAAGAATCCACAAGTGTGCTGATATCCAGAGATGTCTTAGAGGTAGATTATTTCAAATCAAACATTAATTAAACCTTATATTAATTTCTATCTATATCAACTTTATCTCAGGTGGTTCATCCAAACATTTCCCCCGGAGACATTACCTTCTTGGTAACATCCTCACCAATGCATGGCTATTTGGAAATGCAATCCATGTCATTCGACGATGAATACAACTGCAAGGTGTTCGATCAATCATCCATAAACACTGAAAAACTTTTCTATATCCAAGCGGGAGTCAACCAATCGACGGATTACTTTGTGTTCGATGTAACAAATGGCATCACTTGGCTAAAACAATTAACAATGAAGATTGTGATCATACCAGAAAAACTTTATATGCACTCGAATATTATTTCAGTGGTTGAGGGAAAGACTGTGCAACTGAATCCTACGGATATACAGCCTTATTCAGAATACTACAGAGGAAAGATACTGGAGTATATTGTGACCATAACACCGAATTCGGGTCACATTTTGGCTGGTAATTCGAAAGTCAAGAGGTTTACCCAAAAACAACTCGAACAGGGAAATATACAGTATGTGCACAATGGCAGTGAAAATGCCACCGACAGTATTACTTTGGTTGCCATGGCCAGAAATAAGGAAAGTGTTCCCTTTGAACTGGAATTTGCTGTGATCCCAGTTAACGATGAGGAACCCATGATGGTCACCAATACGGGATTGCAAGTCTGGAACGGAGGAAGATATGTTATCAAAAATACTGATCTGTGTAAGTAGATACTTCTTTTAATTGTAAAAAAACATTTTAGGTTTCAATATAAATATTTATACCCTATCGTAACAATTTCTTTTATATTTATTAGTGGCTCAAGATTACGACACACCTCCGGAAAACCTCACCTTTGTGGTGCACCACGTATACGGTGGTTACTTAGCCAGAAAATCAGCACCACAGCTTAAAATCGAGAAATTCACACAGGCGCAAATAAATCGAGAGGACATATACTTCATGCACGATTCCAATTCCAGGAGAAACGAACTTTCATTTGTGGTAACAGATGGTTTGTTCAACACCACCACTCAAATGCTAAACATCGAAATTAAGCCCATTGAAATCCTGGCTGAACACAATGAAAATCTGCATGTTTTTCCTTTGACCAAGAAACAAATTCTACGTGATCATCTGCACTTTAAATGTTCGGATGAAGAGCGGGAGATTCGCTATAACATTACAGTTCCTCCGAGTTTGGGTCGCATAGTGAATGAGTTTATCGATAATGGTTTCACTAAAGAAGTCAGTGAATTCACCCAAAACGATGTGGATAATGGTCACATATTCTATGAGCACACAGCTGTTATTATGGAGTTTCGAATCAATGATTCATTCTACTTTGATGTGGTGGCTGAAAGAAGCGATCGGTTGTTGGATCAGAAATTCAATATAGAGATCTCTGTTTCATCAGGTGGTTTGCTAAGATTCTTGCCAGTTAACAAACTAAACGTGGATGAGGGAGGTTCGGTGCCTATTAAACTGGATTTTTCAAAGATTTTGGAGTATCTAAAAACCAAAGCTGGCATTAATAATCCAGAGCTGTTTATAGAGGCCATACAAAAACCCACACATGGAAGTGTTGGCTTGGGTCGGGAATTTAAAAATATGCAGAAATATCACCCAAGTGATTTTCTAACCAAGAAAGTCTACTTCATACACGATCATTCGGATACCTTGGAGGATACCATACTAATGTCGGTTTATCTAACACAAGGGTGAGTTGATAATATACATAAATCATTTAAATAAACAGAACATGTAATTCAATATCTTTACTTTTATTTATAGAAACATTTTCCTGTGCAATCTGACAATACCAGTGAGCATAAATCCCATCAACGACCAACCCTTCCATTTGATCACCCACCTGCCACAAATGACTGTAGTTGAGGGTCAGAATCGTACGATAACCCGGAATGATTTGCTCACCGAAGATGCGGATACTCCACCGGAAGAAATTCTATATGATGTGATGAGTGGACCCACATTAGGAGTACTTAAAAAGATCACAAACGATGGACAAATCGAGGATCTGCTGGCCTTTTCAAATCAGTTTACTCAAGCGGATATTAATAACGATCGGATAATATATGTGCACTTTGGCATGCCGCAGTCCACGACATTTTGCTTCACTGTATCTGATGGCCAATCGAATGCTGCCTACGAGATATTCACCATAAAAATAGCTCCCATAATCCTGCAACCTTCTGCATTGCAAATTCCAGTGAGAGTTCAACAAGGAGCCACCAGTGCTCCCATGAAACTGGATCACTTAGGAGTGTCCACAAATGTTCACATGGAGAGATTATCTTACAACATAACCAATTCTCCTCTTTATGGAATTATTGTTTACAAACATCAGCCAACTTTGAGGTTCACCCAACAGCAGTTGGAAACCTCGCAGATAAGTTATATGCAAACGGACTTGAATCGATCGAACGATACTTTTCAGGTGAGTGCCTATGTTCCGGGCACAAATTATGCAGCTCAAGTGGATGTGGTGATGGAAGTGGAACCTGTAATACAAATAAACGATATAGTGATGAAGGATGCCGATCCTGCAGGAGGTAAAATAAAGCTACTCACCTCGTTGGACAACGATAATCCTCTCTCCCTGAAACTCAACAAGTTCAATCCGAAGTTTGTCATCACAAGAATGCCAGCCACTGGACAAATCAGGAAGATAATCCGAAGTACGGGATTAATGAGCGATGGACAGAACGAGAGATCCACCAATATATTTTCCTACAAAGAGCTGCGAAGTGGAGTGGTTTACTTTGTGCCCCATGAATCTGTTGAAGAAACGGAAGCGGATAGCGATAGTTTCGACTATCAGCTGCTCATAAAGACAGTGCAACCTGCACAGGCCACAGTATCGATTGAATATAGAAGTAAAGTCGAGGAAACGGAAACGGTTCACTTGGGTAGTGCTGGTTTATCCCTAAACTACCTTGCCATAGGATGTGCCATATTTATAGTGCTGATCTGCCTGCTAATCGTGCTTCTGATATTGAAAATCCGTAAGCTGAGGAAGCACAAGGCGGATATATCCAAGGATCAGCCGCCGGCGCTGCCCTGTCCACCGGACTTGACTTCGGTGAGTCCGCAGCACCACCTGCACCACCATCAGAACCACCAGTACGCCAGTTCCGAGGCGGATTCCACACCTGCAACGGGAAGTTCTACTCCACTACCTGGTTTTAGTAATATTCCCCATTGCAAAATCATACCCGTGGAGTCCTACAAGCACGAGTTTCCCGACTACGATCCCGACGAGGAGGAGACGGAGGACCACTGCGATCCGCAGCAGATGATGCTGCCGCAGAGATACAATCCCTATCATCCGGAACACGATGCCTGGAGTTCGTCCTGCGACATGGCGAATGATTTTGCCGGCTACTCCTCCGTTCCGCAGAGTATTTCCGGTTCGGTCAGCTCACCGCCCTCGGCCCCGCCCACAAATCCTCTGCTGAGGCGGAATCAGTATTGGGTGTGAGTTATAGAATCCGAGATATATACTCAGTGGGATCAGTGGGATCAATACACCTTTAACTGGGTAAACGATTTTTCCAATCGGATCGGATGTAGTCCTAGATTATTTATTTAAGTTTAAGCTTACGTTTAAGGCTGATTTATGAGATTCGTTAGGGGAAGTGCAGCATTTTATACACTGGAAAAAAAGTTTATATTAGTATGTAGACAACAAGTACATACATATCTGGCGTGTCATATACAAACGATTAGTGGTAAGAACGAAAAGAAGAGTTATACTCAAAAGCCAACTTAACTTAGCCTTAGCATTGTGTTTGCCAACATGGAATACTTTTTACAATAAATGACAATACTTTTAAGCGAAGCATCAGAGTTTTATTTTAAAATTTGAACTTGGAAGGGTGAATAATCGCTTTCAGATTTTTATAATGTTCCCAGACTTAAAGATAACTTATATATTTAAATATTAAGATCTCACAAAAATATAAGGAAAATATTTCAATCTTGAATCCATTGAGTAAATCCGAATTATATGTTAACTTAAAGTAGAAGTGCATTTTATACAGTTTAAGTTTATGTAAGTACATCAGACCGCATTGGATTACTTCGGGAAGATACAAGTAAGTATATACCTATTATTAAATCTTAGATCTTAAGTATTAAAAAAGGACTTTTAGCTTAACCGAATACGAAAATATCACTAGGTTCAATGTGATGCACATTTTGCTTTCGCTGGACTCATTTCAGTTTGAGGGTTTTGTTTTTGAGTGTATGGCTTTAGAAAGCAGGCGCTGTTGATGGTTTCTCGGTAATCGGAGTTACGACCATGGCCTGATTGTCGTATCCGTAGGCGATATCCGTCATAACCGTAGTGGGCGTGGTGCTGTTCTCCGCCGGATAGCGAGTGCTCACCGGGGTGGTCATGGTCACCACCGAACCCTCGGCTGCACCTGCAATAAATCAGGATTAGTTTATATGCTTGAAAATTCAGAAAACAGAAAACCGAACAGGTAGGTCCTTACACTTACCTGCCACACTGTAGATCTGCGACTGCGCCCGCTCAAGGTCGCTGCCCATGCGATTGATGGCATTCAGGTTCTGTATGGTGGTGGCATTGAGCTCCTTTCCATTCGCAGTCACAGGTTGTGGAAAGGCCTTCGACTGGAGTCTGCGCAGCATTTTGTGGAAGCATCGCCGGCCGATCAGCCAACGGAGGCACTGGAAGGCACAGCGAGCGGCGATCAGGATGAGGAGGATCGTCAGGAGCAGAAGGATCAGGTGCTGGGTGTTCTGGATGTCCATCATCTCCGCCTTCAGAGGACCGAACGTCTTGTAAGCTGTGGTTTGAAGAGATATAAGCCAAGCTAATAAGGCGCAAAGATGAGTGAAAATGCGTGTTTTGTGTTGTGTTTAATTAAATGATAATTGCATGCTGATAAAAAATGCAAAATAAAAGCTAGATTTTTTTCTAAGATTTAGCGTCTAATGTTAGCTGACCTTATCTTAACCTCTTCTTATACTACTATAATAATATATATTATATATTAGCTGATCTTATCTTCCAGTAGTGCACTTGATTTTATAGTACTACATATAAACTTATATAAACAAAATATATTCCTTGATTTCAGTGCGAAACTTGAGTACGCAGTGCGAATTCTAACAAATCAATTAAAATATATGTATACTATAGCTTTTGAAGGTACCTAACATCTTTTTTTAGCAACTCATGAAAGATGATTTAATCACTTGATACAGCCATTGTAATTTCCAGGCAATTGAATCCGGCTGGAAATACCCAAACCCGTATTAAACCTACCAATTAACCCCGTGGAGTTACTTTACTAGTCATGAATGGATTAAACTTACCCGAACATTCCCTGCCACACTGTGTGGCATCATAGTTGTGCGTCTTGTTATCGCAGATCGAAACGCATGGCAGACAGGCCTCCGAGGCAACGGAGCAATATTCGTCCACCGGATGACAGATCGTTCCATGGCAGTCCTTACTGTCTCCATTTGCCGCTGCCACCAAGGAAAAACTTGGCAAAAGTGGAACTCCGCTAATGGAGAGCGACAGGGCTCCCAATTTTCTGACCGACATTTTGGGGTATTGTTTTTATATCTTGTTAATTACACTTTGATTTTGTGAGTGTAATTTCCGCTTTGGCTTTGCGCGGTTTACATAAGCAATGTGAAAACTGCTTTTCTCCTCAGTAGGTTTTGTTTATTTTAGACGTATCCAAAGTATCAGTATGAATCATATGCCAATAACGCGGCCCAGAGGCTTTCTGACTAACTAACTTCTCTTTTGATTGTTGGCTTCTGGAGTCTGAGTATTTTTTGTTGCCCTTACACATACACACTTCTGTATTTGTGTAAACGAGTTTATCTTGGCCAAGTTTCACAGCTTATTTATAGAATTTTCTTTTAGTTATGACACATTTTGATACTTTTTCTTTAAAGATTTTTGAAAACCTTATAATTTTACTTATTTTTATAACTTTTACACGAAATAAAACATTTGTTTTCCCTTTTTAAAATTACGGACGTTGTTGACCAGCGATTTTCGAAGCGTTTTGAGCCACATTCAACTCGTTACTGGCTAAAATGCGTCGATCGCTCGCTGTTACCAACCACTCAGCACTCACACACCTCCACTGGAATCCAATACACTCACATCCGACTGACTTGACTTTTGTTTACCTTTTTTCACGTCGATCGTAGATGCGAAAGTATCTCTATATCTATGCTGTGGCAGGTAACTCTAGTGTTTGTGTATCCACGATCGTTTGTTGATTTTGAGTCTGTTTTGAATCCATTTCTTACCGACTTCGGAAATCTTTGAACCCGGCTTCAGTTCCTTCATCTCGGCAATACTTATACAAATAATAATACCGATCAGCGAGGGAGCGAAACCCAAACAAATGTTGTTTTTGAATATTACTAACTCAGCAGTTAATTATTGAGGAACAAGTGAATTAAAAGAACAAAGAAACACATGTAAACTGCAAGAATTATTTATTTTTTTTTTAAAGTTAATTTTATTTACAATATTACAACACATTTAGGTTTTTTTATTTTTCATCTCAGTATCGACGTGTATATTTTTTAAGTGTATATTTCAAGTGGGTATGCAACTTAGGCCACGATAATGACTGGGTTCATGTCTTAGCTAATTGTGTGGCAGCACTTTAAATTCAAAAATAAAAACCTTTTTGTAACAAGCAGATTTAAGAATCTTTTATTAAGAATAAAACCACTTCTTGTATATTTTAAAAATAAATCGAAAAATTAAGCTTGATTCAACCAACTTGTAAAGATTTTTAAATTACCCGATTACTTGGCAGCACTTTTCCCGCTCATCGCTTCCAATCGTTCCAACCTCTCTCTCTCTCTCTCTCTCCTTCTCTGGCCTTCTCTCTCTTCCCGCACTTATGCTCGCTTCCATTGCAGTGCTAACTCTAAGATACTTTTGTATCTGCTTCCAGTTCCAACGCCGCTTGCAGTGTTATTGTGGCTTCCAGCTCGCTGGACTGGATGGCCAAGTCAAACAACATCCATTCGCTGAGCGGCTTTCGCTGTTGAATGAGCTGCTTTGCTGTTTCCGTGGAACGGCCGCCGGTGCGTCGCGTATCTTCGAGATACAACAATTAAATCGAATCGAATTTATATTGCAGCTGTCGTTGCGCGCGTGTTGCCGATGGATATTGTGGAATTATAACAATCATTTCTCGTGTGGAAGTGTGAAAGTGAAATAGTTGCGCCCAGAGCGACGCAATTAGATGAAAATATAGTTTACACACGCTCCAAAACCGTATCTTTGTATCTTTTGTGCGCGAGCACGCTTCAACAAGTAAAGCGAAATTAAACACAAACCACTGAAGTGGAAGGCGCGTCCTTGGGCTCCCAAATTAAACACCTGTTTTAGAACCAAGCAGATATTCAATTGCGATTTGAGCCGCCGAAAGAGGCAACCAGAGCCGGTTAGAAAGAGATAGAGAGAGAGGGCGAGCGAGCGAGAGAGATGAACAATTTCACAACCACAACAGCAGCCGCACCACCAAAGGAAGCGCTGCCCCGATCAGGACATGTTAATGAGGGTAAGCATGGGTTAAGAGCCCAACCGAACCAAACCGAACCGAACTGAACTGAAAATGAACCCAAAGCCCATCGAAATTGGTTGAACATGAACAATTTTGTACGGGGCCCTGGATAATTGGAAATTGATTGGGTTTGAGTGGGGCTATCGAGTTGAGCGGAGGAACAAGGGCAATTCACCACATAGAAGTGATTAATTTAGGTATTTTAGAATTCCTCTCTGCCTCTCTGACAAAAAACCGATCGTTTGCTATTAAATGTGTATTTTAAGGGATTTTTTTAGAATTCTTTTGCATTGAAATTCCTGCAAAAAGCTGAGATTCTTTCCTCCAAAACAGAAACCTGACTTGTGACTAGCTTTAAAAGAATTGCAGTATCTAAACAAAAAATTGTATTTCAATACCTATTTGTTTGTTTTTAACAAGATTGTATATCCATAAACGTATGAATTTGATATCAATCTTTTGCCTGAGTGTTTAAAAGGCTTTCCTTTTGGTCACAAAAGATTTCTGCATCCCTTCACATATTTTTTCATCCTCTTTGAAGACTTTTTTCTAGCATTCCCAAAACCCCCACTAATTCCACCGATCTGATATTGTTGAATGCCAACATCAGCCAAAACAAACAATCAACTTCCCAGAACTTCTCGAGTATCGTATGTTCTTGGGGCTGAAATGTAAGCTATATTTCTGTTGAGTCAGATGTAAACAAACGCCTGGGAGCACGTTTCCCCTTATCGCTTACGACTTGACCTTATATAATAATCAAAACATTTGCTTAGGAAAATGTTACAACATGAAAAGCTCATTCACCACATTGAATAAGCCCAATTAATTGAAATCCGAATATGAAATGCCCGATGACAAAGAAATGGCTGTTGTGCAAATCGCTGAAGATACTGTGTAGTATTTGTTGTTATGCTAATGAAAAAGATTGCCCAAAAGCAGAAGAAATAATACACAGAAGACACGGGCAGAAAAAAACTTTCTCGACGCTCAGTCACAATGGCAAGAAGTTGGCGAGTTCCCTGATTTTTTTTTTTTTTTTTTTTGGGAGGGCTTTGAAAGTCTTCATGAGACGATAAACAAAAACAAAGACTGCCAGTCAGCAGCTAAAGAAACCGCACAGTGTACTGAAGACCAACGACCGAAAGCGGACAAAGTTGTGAAGAAGAGATTTCAGTTGAAAAATAAACAAACACCGAGCTCTTCTATGTTATAATTTTATTTTGGAGCAATCGAGGGGGAGCCAGGCGATCCGCTTTACAGAAAGGGAAAATATAAACTGTATTTTTCTTTTTGGAGGTGCAAAAAAATGATTGCCGCCAGCACTTTCCATTTAATGGTTACACTGGGAAAAGGTTATGAGTGGTTTAGTTAGATCTTTATTTTCTTGAAATAGAATATTAGTAATACACATCATTTAGATAGAACACAAAAAAACAACAAGTTTTGAATAATATGTGAAAATATTTTTTACATTTTTTTAAATTATAAGTATTTAAAGAAGAAATGATGGATGAATGGTTTTTTATGACATAAACGGTGTTTTTGGAAAGCGGTAACTATTTATGAAAAATCCCCACTGATAACCGATTTAGCTGAGATTTTTTTTGTAGTGCAGAGATGCAAAAAAGCTGGTTCCGAGCATTTGTATCTTAAAGATACAGCGCGTGCAGCAGAGGCAACAGCTGACGGTTAGCCGAGGGGATTGCAGCCGCTTCATTTGCGCCCAAGCACGCATGACAAAAGACCCCCACAAAGAGTCGGCCCTCGGTTTGAAATAGCCCTGCCTCCGACTGAAGCTCGCACAACTGCTGGCCTCTTTTTTTTTGCCAGCCATCCAGCCAGCCTGACTGACTGACAAGTGAAGGGGGTTTTTTTTAGGGGGGAATGCGATAGGAAAGGGGGGCTTTTAAGGGGTGGAGTTGCCCCAGCAGCAACAGAAACAGCAGCAGTTGCATGACGAGCCGCCTGAATGCAGTTTATTTCTTTCCTTTAAGTTTCCTTTTTTTTTTTGTTGCATGCCAGGAATGATTCACTTGCCACGATGACAGGATGTGCGAGTGCCAGGAGAGAGGTCTCCTCCATTTGGATTTGGCTCTTAGCATTTCTATGGGGACAGCACTTAAAGGAAACTCAGGCCCCACTTCTCTCCTTTCCGTTTCTCTGACTCTTTGTCTTGACTTGCGGTGGCCTATAAAACGGAATTTTGAGAAGCCAAAATAATGGGGATCCCAAGGAGTTGGACAAGTCACGTAAAGTGCTGGTCTTTAGAAAGAAAAGCTTTATGCAAAAAACTGCACTCATATTTGGGAGAAACATTTGGGGAAGGCCTACTTAAGAATTGAATTGCCAGTCGATCCCTTAAAAAGTAAGCTTACTTGAAATTTGCAATCCATTTTTAACTGAAAGTCAACATTTGAAAAGCTTACAAATTAACTAAAATACAATTAAAAAGCAGTAAATATTTACACACATTTTTGTAACTAATGGCAGCTGCTTTTTATAGATATTTTAACGACTCGTTTTCAACCTGATCGAAAAGCAAATTTATTTGCACTCTATTGGCAAATAAAAGCTGTCAGGCAATCAGCCAACTTCCTCTTTTCAAAAAGCAGAGAAAGCTTGCCTGGCTTAATTCATAAGTATCGTGGCATGAAAACAAAATTAAGCTAATTTCTGGGCTCCGCTTTGTTGCCACAACACTCGAATAGACAATTATGGGCCTTTCTGCCTCGGATATGCATGAATGTAATTTATGAGAGTTTGAGAGGCAATTCAATCAATCAACGAAAACCGAAACTGAACCCGAACTGTGGGCCCATTTGAATGCAATAAATTCGAGATGAGGCACGAATGGCTAAAGTCAATGTAAGGCTGGCTAAATATACTGCTGTTGCTGCTGTTGCTGCCGCGGCTGCGGCGGGTGTGTATCTGTATCTGTCGGACACAAAATTCAAATAGTCGACATTGCAGGCCGCATTTCTCGTCCAGTGGCAGAGTGGCATGTTCAACAACCTTGAGTCAGGTTTTTCCACTTTCGGCGCCGCGTCTCCTCTGCTGCTGCCACCTCTGCTGCTGCCTCTGCCGCTGCAGTTGCAGTTGCAGTCGTCAAGCGTCGTCAACAGCATTTTTCCCCACCGCGCCACACATATTTTCCTGGATTTTGTTCGGGGGCTCTCTCATAAATTTTCCCGTCAAACTGCTTTCTAATTTTGGCTTTCCACACTTGTTTATAGTTTTTTTTTTTTTCTTTTTTTTTATGCATATGCATAGCTTTATATATTCATTACCATCTCGGGTTGTGTAACTCTTCACGCGATCGGCGGGCCATTCATGCGTGTTCAGCCAACTGAACTTGGCTGCCAATCGGGGAGAATGAATCGGAGAAATGGGGGAAAACCCGACCTGAAAGTAAGGTGGTGGCGAAGCCCTGCAAATGCCAAGAGGCCGAGACCAAAAAGCTGTGAACTGTAAATCGACTGGCCGGCAAGGTTAATTGAATGTGGCAGGTAAATTTGTATAGGTTGCAATGCAAACAGTTTGGCCAAATTGCAGAGCCACGGCAGCTAAACAATTGTTGCTGCACATAAATAATTAAGTGCCCCATTTAAGCGGGTTCATTGAAAGGGGAATGAAACAACTTTCAATTACTTTTACTTTACCAAATTACGAACAGGAAAGTTTGCAATAAAAAGGAAATAAAATAGAAATATATTCGTAAATAAAAAGGATTTTTACAAAAAGAAGAAATTGTAAACTTGTTAATTCACTCAATAAATAATTGTTATTTTAATGAAAAAAGAGTATTTAAAAATCCTAGCTAGAAGGTTTCTACATAGAATAATTAAGAATAACAATTTCAACCCAAGAAATAATTGTTATTTTAATGAATAAAGAATATTAAAAAATCCTATCACCAAGGTTTCTACATAGAATAATTAAGAATAACAATTTCAACCCGTTTTCTTGCTAAAAAGTATATATTTTTTTTATTCTTTGTTTACCAAAAGCTTAATAATTAGCAAACCTCGTTTAGTGGTTTTCTTTTGAAATATCTCCCCCCAGCCCACCTGTTTTCGCCCCCATTTAAAAGAATTCTTCGGAAACCAAGCCAATGATTCATGCATTTTTTGACTTACTAACCCGTTCTCGACTCGCTGTTTTCTGGTCAAGTCAATAAAATGCTTTTGGTGACCCACATTGCACCACCCATTGTAGCGTGAATTTCGGGCCAGCAAAGGTTAACCGTTTTATGGTTTTTTGGCCAAAACCCGTTTCAGGGCCACTCAAATATTTCACTTCCCCCACATGGAGCCCCAATAAGTCAGCTGTCAACGTCGAAACAGGAAATTGAAAGAATTCCAAATTTGTCGTGTGACTTTATAGCAACTGGCGAATTCAAGTGGCACTAGCCATCATTTTCCTAGACTTATATGCTGCACAATTTTATGCCTCGGTCATTTCCTCTCTCACTCAAAAAAAAAGAAACATTATTTAACGGCCAGCGTACGGAGTACAGTAAGTTAATTTCAGCACAGGTTTTCTTTGTTTTTCTCCCCATATGTTATTTATTTTTTTTTTTTTTTGTTGCTGTATAATTTGTTTTCGTATTTTGCCCGTTGCCCGTTGTGCATATAAAAAAGCCGTGCTTACCCGGAGAATTATAAAGCAAAAGCGCAGAGACGTAGGAACAACAGGAAAATCATATACACATACTGGCACTTATTCGAGACTTTGTAAGTTATATGCTGCCAGTGCGAAATAGCAAGAAACTGGGAATGGATTTCGAAGTAAGCAAAGATTTGCATACCCTATTAAAAAAAAAAATTATTCTATCATATGGATAAATAATAATAAATTTCAATGATCTGCAAAAATGAAAACAAAAAAATAATTAATTTTTATTATCTTGTCTTACAAAATTTAAATTAGTAAAGTTTTTTGTTTGATAAACAAGTTTATCTTGTGGTGGTAAGTGGAATAGTTAATTTAACCTCATTAAAAATAAATTTTAAAAAAAATACGAAATATTTGCCATGTCAGCAAGATCATATTAAGATTTCTGTTGTAGATGCGAACATGTGTTACCATATCTATTTTGTAATTACCGCCAACAACTGTCTAGAATTACCTCTCTATTCTAGGGTATAGGCATAGTGTTGATTCCGCTCTAGGGGGAGTGGTAAGAACAAAGTTGGGGACGGGTTTTGGGGCCAGGCGGGGTAAGCAACCTGAGCTGAGCAATCAGGCCGAACCACTCAGCAGACCGAGCGGCCCAAGAAAAGCGCGAACTTGCAAAAAAGTGCTTTGTTTTTCAGTTTATGCAGCGGCACAAAATATACTTTTTTTCGTAGCGGCATGCTCGTGCATATATAGAATCCGCTTAGCTATATATTTATGTGTATATATAGTGCTTTAGTGCAGTCAGAAATCAAACAACTAAATTGATTATGTCTGCCAGTGCGACGCCCCAACATTTCTGCTCTTCCTGCTGCAAATGCAATTTCTCTTCAAATTGCAGTTAATTAAGTGAAATCGCCTTTAAACGCATTAGCTGCACTGAGGGTCTGAACCATAATTCATTTTCAACTGGAGTGTTCTAATTGCACTCGCCCTGACTGCGTAGAAATCAAGGGTCAGGGGTCAGCTAATTGCCAGTTGACAGTTTCAAGTCAGAGAACCTTTAAATTAGAGCCTCCGAGGGGAGATCGCAGTATAAAGATAAGAAAGCCTTGCATGTTAATAGATGACAGAATGAAAGGAAGAAACTAATGGAGCTATAATGTGGGAGGTCGGGGGAAATTGTTGGGTCAAAAGTGATTAAGAATGATTACATCAATGTGGAGAACTTAAAAACGTGTTTAAGGAAGTGAAACGATCTAATCAGTTCCACAAATTAACAGAAAATTAAGGAAATATGGAGCGTAACTCAAGATGATACTATTAACATAGAATATAAAAATCAAAACTAATTAGAAAGGCTTTCTCAATTTCCTATAAATAAGTCCCGCTGTCTCTGTCAATCAAAAGACCACTTTCACATCTACCTAGAAACAAACTATCAATCCGATAACAAGACGTACTTGAAGATACAACCGAAAACCTCATCAGGCCAACAACTTTTTCGCTTTGCTCACTTCCACTTTCCAGAGACAGTGACTGAAAGTCGGGGCTCCTAACTAAATGAAATGATAAATGACAGCAACTCAAACAGAGACCAGAACACCAGACGCTTCCAATTGCGTGGATCGTGTATTTGTACAGAGAAAAAAATATGTATTAAAATTTAATATGACCTGTATTAGAATTTAATACAAAACTTATTGGAATTTAGGGAATTGGAAACATTTCCAAACAACTTTAAGTTAATTACGAAATATATTTCATTTAATTTAAATTGCTAGTAAAGTAACTAATAACCAATATTTTTCTCTGTGTAAACATATGAGCACATGCCCGAACTCGAACCACAAAGCAAAGTAACAAAAACATAAAAATAACCCCAAGCGAACCCCACACGAAATTCTACACACACAATTAAGAGGAAGTTTTTACCACGCTTTCGCTTATCAACGAGCTGAAATCGCTACACGCTCGGTTAAATCGATCAAACTGCAGCCCCGACTCCTTAAAATAATCCCCCACTTAAGCTGCATTACATCTTCAATGGAATTCCTTTGTTCGAACCCGGTTTTGTCCCCAATTCGAAAGACTGCATCTCGAAAAATGACTCATCGGTTTACCGGGGCATCAAGTGCAGCAAACAGATTTTAACGATCTTGCAGGGCTTCATTAGAGATTTGACCAGTAACCCCATAGCGTTTAATATCACATGTCATTAGATACTGCAGTTGGGGGCCATAAAAAAGGTGATTCAAGCTACTCACAACCGATTTCTTCTATCGTTTCCGCATTTCAGTGTGCAAGGAGTGGCTCGTGCGTGAGGACGGTGCACTGGCCTATAAACTCCAGTCCCAGGAAAGTAAGTACCCGATGTGGGTTAATGCAGAGCCATCAGAATAATGCTTGAAACTATTTCCCCCAGTTAATGACTTCTACAAGGGAAATCGCTATAGGAATGCGGTGGTTCGCGAGGATTTTCCCACCGCCCTCCACGAACAGATCAAGGAAAAGGAGCAGGCTCAGCGGAGGGTGGATGCCTACAGGAGACGATTGACTGAACAGTAAGTACTGCATAGAAATTTAAAAATTATTCAAAAAATATTTAAAATAGTTAAGATATTATATAGAGAATTCCACATTTTACTAGTTTATTCAGTAACCAAGAGTAACCAGTATACCAAGAGAAAATAAATATTAAGACTTGATAGTTGATTTTCAAATTTATTTTTTGAATCATTATTCTCACTTTTACCCCTAAAAAGAAATTAATAGTCTCTTAATTAGCTACTTTGTATTCATTGATTGATAAAAGAGGTTCCACAAATGATTGCTATTCTTCACATACATAGAGGCCATTTTTAAGAGTCATACAATCACTATTCTCGATTTTCAATAGAACTAATCAAAATTTCTCAACAGGGAGGAGCATGACAAGAGTGTGGCCAAAGAAATAGCTGACAAACTGGAGCGTGATTTGCGAGAGCAACAGCAGCGGGAGTTGCAACAAAGCGAGTTGATTGCCAAGCAAATGCAGGTGAGCAATTAATATTTCACAGTATAATCAAATCCCTGGACTAATTAAACCGATTGCAGGAAATCTACGTTAATCTGCCGCCTGTGCCGCCGCCAGCAACACGCGACAGGAGTCGACCGCCGCCGCGTCCTGCCAAAGCAAGTATACACCTGCAACAACAACAGCAACAGCAGCAGCAACACCAGACACAGCAGCAACATCAAGCAGAGCCGAGCACCTCACAGCAGGCTAGATACCACAGTCAACAGCAGCAGCAACCATTGCTGCTGCAGCAGCAACACTTCTCACAAACAGACAACTATGTAGGATTATCGCTTATACCAAATATTGTAGATATGCCAGCAGCAACAGCAAGCCAAGCAGCAGCAACAGCAAGCACAAATCCCAGTAGAAATGCACAGGCACACAATCAGCTGTTGGTGAGTGATGTCTTATCATCACCGCAGCAGCAACACCAACAACAACAACAACAGCAAAATCACTCACGTTTTCATCTTGTACAGCAACAACAGCAAAAGCAGCATCAGCATCAGCATCAGCAGCAACATCAATCATCATCGCCGGCACGTCGAGCGGCAACAAATGCCACCGCATCGGCAACAACTAACATGAACAGCACCTCATCCATTACTCAGCACCCACCCACAACACACAACGCACACACCACTGACAACGCTGACATCGATGAGCTGGTGGACTACGCCGATGTTGCTGATAGCATACGCGACTACAATATCGCTGCCAACAGCGGCACAGCAGCAGCAACATCGGCCAGTGTTGTCGATGCAGCAGCTGCAACATCCCTTCAAAAACAACGCTCCCCGTCACACGAAAATCTCCTAAGAACCGAACCGAAATTTCAGAAGCTGTCACCCGAGAAATACGATCAGTTGGTGGGTAATTTCGGTCTGGGTTCCAATTCGGGATCGGCGAAGGCAGCCGAGAGGCACATGCAACAGCACGCCGACGATATCGAGCTGTATGTGGATCCCTGCGATTATGCCAGCCTGCGGGAGATCGGACTGCCACTGGAGGAGATCCAGGAGATGAGCAAGAAGCTCAAACAGGAGCAGAAGGATGAGGTGACCTTTCATTTAAAAACTATTTAAAATTACAAAGCTATATAATGATATTCCAATTCAGTTGCTGGCTCGCCGGTTGCAGGCCATTGAATCCAAGGACTGCGTGCGACAGGAGCACAGAGATCGACTGCTGGCCATTGAGGCCCAGGATAAGGAGCTGGCCAAAATGCTGCAGGACAGGGTAAGAAAATTTTTTAGGCTACAAAAATTTTTATAGGATAATAGATCAGCAAGCTGAGAAATTGTTATGTTTTAACAGAATTATATTATCTTAAAATTAATATAAATTTCTTATTTTCTGCTGAGTATTTTAATGACCTTGTAATATTTATCAAATCACTTTTGTATATAAGGGAGATAAATAATATTTAATTTAACTATTTAACTTTTATCTTAACAATTATTTGTTGGACTGCTACCAAAATTAAAGATGAATTCACAAAAATCTTGTTGCCCAAAATACAACTATTTAGGAATCAGAAAGGTAAACAGAAAGCAAAAAAGTTGAATAAAGTTTCGTTTAATGTTAACTAATCATACTTCAGTAAATAAGATCATTTCTAAAAGCAGCTTCCTCGAAAATTGGCTTTATTTTGCTGCTTGTACTTTCACATTTGTTAGGCTCATAAGCATTCCATTTGCAAGCCAAAGTAATTGTTTTTCAGAGCTTAATATTTATTGGGTTTTAATGAATTTTTTTAAAGTTTCTTTCACTAAATTATTAAATGCTAAATTACTTATACGTTGTGCCTTTCCAGGAGAAGGCCAAAGCCAAGCGGGCCAAGGAGAAAGCTCGTTTGCGAAAAACCCAGCAGAGGGAAGCCGCCGAAGCTGCCAACGGCAACGGGAATGGGAATGGGAGTCTGCTCTGTGGCACCAATCCGCAGTGCGGTCCATTGCTGCCCCTGCCCCCCGATTGCCTGGCCAGCACTGCCGCCAATCACTCGCAGGTCGACATCGATGTGGAGGCCTACTCGAATCCCATCGATGTGCTGAACAACAGTCGTGAGCAGCGGACCCACAACGGACCTTTGACCAACGGCAGCCTGACCAGAGATGGGGGCTCCAACCACAGCTCCATGCAGCGGCAGCAGCGGAGCATGGCCCCCATTCGGGGAGAGGATGAGATCTACACGCTGCCGGTGGACAATTGCAGGCCAGGACAAAGACCTGTTTCACTTCACATGGCGGCGGAGGCGGTGCAGCAACTTCAGGCCCACAATTCCATGACGAGGTGAGTTGTACCTTAATTTAAAGCAAAAATTGATAAATACTCTATAATATAAATATATATAAACTCTTTCTAGATCTGAACATTATGGGTCCGAGGCTGGATCGCATGATAGTTCACATCTTAGTGGCCAGGACATATCGCCCCACATGAAATACTCCAAGTCCGGCAATTTCGGTATATATGTATAAAACCCACCTTCGTTGAATTGCCTCGCTATATATTGATGTGTATTCCGATTGCAGATCAAAGTGCCAGCCCCACGCCGCCTTACATGCCAATTCAGGGTACTCGAAGATCAAATTCAAGTGAAGATCGTAAAAAGAAGTCCAAGGACAAGTGCACGCATCAGTGAACCATAATCATCCATGCATCCATGCAGTCCAATAGAATATTCGAATGTTTTTTGTACTCTCTCGACAATGAAATTGTTCAGATCCAAATCATACTTTTTATCAGTTTATTCACAATCCTCTCACATTGTATCTCTAGAACTTAGGAGTAGTTTGTAGCTTAAATACATCAAAATTATGTATGTATATGTATGATGTGTGGTTTCAGTAATAGTTCTGTTGAAGTCAATGGCTTTACAATAAAGATTTTTTATAGGCAACTGATCTAAACGTTATTTGTTATTTGGGGAAAAAACAAAATCAGTTAAAAAAAAAAAATAATAAAGAAATATCATACTAAAATCAGTTAAAAAAAATAATAAAGAAATATCATACTAAAATCGTATGCAAAATTAAAAGAAATATTTTTCCAAAAATATCTTGGAAAAATTTGATACTTGAAACAATCCTTTTTTTTTTTTGCTTAATACAAAATTATATAATCCAGTGAATGTCTTGAGTACCAACCAATCCAAATGTTATTCCAAAGGTGTTAAAATAGGATCCTCTCACCATTTAAAACCAGCAGAACCACATCTTTCTGTAAAAGAAACTTGAATCTTAGAGCTTGTGATCTTGTATAATTGTTCGTAAGCTTTTACCTTTTAAAGAATAGTTTAGTAGTTCCGATAATACTTCCCTCGATCAGCTATAGTTTTTGCCTTTTTTTATTAACATCAGCAAGTTTGCGTCCAATACCGGAGATCAAAACTTGTGAAACTGGTATTAAAAGTCACAAGTTAGGGTCTCAGGGAATCAGCCATACAAACATTTGCACATGTCACTAATGCCAATATTTACATATGCCGTGTGTTGAATTTCTATATCCGAGGCATTCTTAATGAAGTTCAGTGAAAGTCTGGCTTAGAACACTTTTCTTGTTGTCCACAATCAACTTTTCTTGCACCGCCAACTTTTGTATGGCTGGGAATGGGTTTTGGTTGGCGGTGAAGTTCGATTGGGAGTTTTAATCAATTGCGGCTTGTAGTCAAGCAAAGAAAGCTAGCACATTGTATAGTATGATTTGTAGTTACTACTATACAACCTACTACCTCAATTTGCCAGAGAGAAAAAGGTCCTTGGTGTAGTCCTTTTTGCTGGGTGGTTTGGTTTTTAAAGGATTTTCTGGGTCGTTTTATAGGTTTTTGGATGATAAGATGATGGCGAACAAAAACAATAATAATGGGGAGAAATCATATTAAAGTTTGATACCTATGCTGTCTTTGAAATTTTATACATGACTTACTTAAAAATTTTTTAAATGCATTTAATTTTTTTAATATTTTGAGGTTCATTTCAACACGATTTAAACATTTTTCCTTATAAATAAATTATTGGTATTGAGTTATTTCAGATGTACACACATTTTATTTATATAAAAAGTTATATTAATTTATTTTTATTATAATTAATTTGGTGTTTTTGTTCCTGTTTTGCACTGCATATATTTTTTTATATTATTCGTTGTTATAGTTATTTTGTTTCATTATGTGATTTTGTATGTTTAATAGCGCTTTAAACCCACGTGTTATCCATACTCCACAATTTTTACATTTAATTGATCTGTCATTTGATTTTGCTGCCAAAAACCAGTTGTTTGCATTGACAGACTCCCATAATGCCGGTCTTGTAACAGATATAAAACAGCACAAGTTCGGATTTACGGGTTTCTGTTAATGGTCCATATGTAAGTATGCACCATTTCGTGTTGGATTAGAAATCGTTTAGTCGGTGCTTGAAATTGTTTTCTTTTTTGAGAAACAAAAATCCACCCCATCTGGCTGCGTAAACGGCTTAATCCATTTGATAAAGTTGTGAAATTCCAAAAGGACAATTGGAAGGAGTTCCGGGTTGATCTGAGTCATCTGAAATGGATAGCGAATATTAGATATCAACTTATTTGTGGGATTTTATAGTTACGATTTTCAAGTTATTTTCGTCAAGCCGCAATCTGCAAAATAATAAAAAAAGAATTGTTTTTGATTATTATAAGCATCAAAAGTATTTTATAAAAAATAATCCCAACTAACAAAATCCAAAAGTTATTATTTTAATTAGCTTGTTAAAAAGTTTAAATTTTACTAAAAATAAATAATGAAATAAAACTCAAATCATTACTTGTTTCAATAAATTCGTCATATGTTTTTTAGTTTGTATCTCACAATTAAAAAGTGATTAAGAAGCGAAGAACATAACTTCATAAATGTTAAATTAAATAATTCTTACCACACATTTAAGCTTACAATTGCTTCCTTTTTGTGACCTTATAGTTCCAATAATCTTCAAAGAAAAAGAGAAAACTATGAACAAAAATATCAATCAACTTGGCCGAATCCCTTATAATAAAACTATTATTAAACTGTTATGTGAGTTTATTGTTTACCGTTTGTTCCTCTTCATATCCACATTCGCCAGCAGAAGAACTGCAAGAGGAGCTTTATGGAAAAACAATTCCACTTGACTTGGCCTAATCCCCGATAGATTTGTCTCTCTGGCCACGTAAGCCGATCGCCCAGTTCGCTGCAGTTCGATTCAGCTTGCAACAAAGGAAAGCCATCGTTGGAAAAATTGCATTACATATTCATCTTTTTGCCCGGACGGGAAAATCACCGAAAAAAAACAACGAACCATAAGAAATAGTTCGACTCAAAGCTAACCGTATAAACTATATGGCCAAGGGGGGTACGAGTATATATATTATGTATGGATGGATGGATGGATGGATGGATGGACTGTTGGTTGGTCGGTTGGGTGAGGAAACGTTGCTGCAGCTGAAGCTCAGAACCGAAACTGAGGCTGAACCTGAAGCTATAGCTATGCCACTATGCTCGGCTGAGCGCCGGCAGAGCGGCGACTGCGGCTGTATCTATCGAGTGTTTTGGCTATATGTGTGTTGTTGTCCCGAGTTCCCTGTTCCCTGTTCCCAGTTCGCAGTTCGCAGTTCCCAGTTGCCAGTTCTATGTTGCAGCATACTACACTACATATGTACTAGAGGGAGAGGGGGGGAGGCGAAACTCGGTACTGGGTACTTGGGTATACTGGTGCTGCTGCCTGATGCGATTCTCTAGCCGTCTTCACCCATTGGCCCTGCCACTTTTCCACATGTTTTCAATGCTTCTTTCGGTGGTAGCAGATACAGCCGTCTGGAGCGCAGTTCGTTGGCTGTACCTATTTTCGCGTATTTCAGCCAGGACCTGCCTCAACAAATTCACAGCAGACAGACGCTCCACACACACATACTCACATACACACACACTCGCAGACACACACTAACACCAGCAAGAGGGGCTGCTTTCTGGTTTCCTTCCTATTAAAAACCGGTAACAGTCCGCAGCAGCAGCGGCAGAGCAGCGCTGCAAATTTTTGCACAATGCTTTTTTATGCAACTCGTTCTCAACTCTCTTAAGCTCTCTTAACCCTCTCCGTTCTGTTCTCTTTTTGTTTACCTTCGCTATATCATATAAATTAAATTTAATCATAAATATTACACATTCGCCCTGTGTTACCAGTTTGAGTTTCCTTTTCATATTTAAATTAATTTCCTCCCTTTGCAAATACATTAAAGTTTCGTTATTTATGGGGAAAAATCACTTATGCGGCATCCTTTGGCCCTTGGCTCATTAATCAAAAATACATTTTCATTTGTGTCCAGTCTGCAGGATGCAATCATCTGGAAACTGTTTGCTTTTCTTTCACTTGCTGCTTGTCAAACGGAATTTTTGCCATTAATTTTCATTTATCACTGGCAGCTGAAAATTAAATTAAAAATGCAATATTTTCAATAGTAATATGCTGCGATTGATTATATTCTGGAAGTAAATAGGGAATATTTATTTGTGCATACAAATTAAATCTTTTATAATATTCATAAGAGCAGAAGGAGAGCAATATGTAATTTGTTTAAAAATTGTTAAGCACCTAAGAAAAGTATGCTAATATTCAATAAATTGTACTACACTTTTAATATGTTTATGTTACCCAGATTAATTATTGATATAAATTAACATTGGTGTTCTTTTTTTGAGTCCACATTTAAATAACATTCTGATTTTAAAATCTGTCGTGATAAAAGTTTTTTAACTTTATTCTGTGCCATTTGACAATTTTCCCCATTAATTCCAGGCATCAAGTTTTGTAAAAAACCAAGGCCAAAGCACCTACACACAAGCAAAGCCAATGCCACGCACGCACACACATGAACAGTGGGGAACCTACACACACACACGGAACACATAACCCATGTGTGTAGGAGTTGCACAAAATTATGCAATACGCGAAGCTCTTTGCGGTCTTCTAACTCTTTTGCGCTCTTTGAAGAGAGCCCTCTGGGGTTTTGTTGATTCTCACTCAATGCCATTGTCATGGGAGCCGAACGTGACGATAAAGGGGGAGTAAGAGGGGGATAACAAGAGGAAAAAGGGTGGAGGGAGAAGAGGAGCAAAAAAAAGAGTGGACCAGAGTCAACATCAACCAACCAATTCAATTAGACTCTGCCGCTTGGCCTTCGCTGATCCACTGCTTTACCCCTCTTTTTACTCCACCGGATCCCCCCCCCCCCACTTTCCCCTTTTCTCCCCTTTTCGTGCCACAGACAACAACAAATCGTGGAGTTGCGCGATGGCAACCCTATATTGCAGATGGGAGAGTCGCAGAGTTGCAGAGTTGATTAACCTTTGGGCGTTCTGTTTTGCAACTTCATTCGTGGAGCTGCTCCGATTTAAATGCTGCCCCATGTGGCAATTGTATTGGTGTGCCACGTTTGTTTGTGTGCGTGCTATGTGTCTCCTTTTGCAGTGTCTGTTGCTCTTCTTTTTGTTTGTGTGTGCGCGAGAGTGTTGTTCGCAGCCATGTTAGCAGCCATTTTTAATGGCCATATACGACTATAGGACGGATCCAGCGGAGCAGAGAGAGAATCCGGAGAACGAACCTCCATCAGCAGTTCAGTTCACTTTATGCTCCATTCACTCTAAGCCGAAAAACTCCTTATAGCCCCAAGCATAAACATTTACACATAGAGAAAAAGTATAGTTACTTTTCAGAAAAATAAAATAAAGTTACAAATTGAACTATTAATAGATTTTATAGTATCCCACAATATCATTGTTTAAAAAAATATTTTTTAAAAATAGTTTTAAGAGCCCAAAATATTAACTTTTATTATTGTTAGGGGAGTCCAATAATAAAAGGTTTGATTTCTAAGTAAAATCCGTTACTCCAAGAAGTATGCAGCACTTTCTTAAAAACCAGTAACAAAGCTTTACTTTTAAAGTCCTTTGACGAATTTAGTTTCAGCAAAAGCCACGAAAATCCGTTCTAAAAATGGTTAAACGAAAAAAAAACCTCTTATCTGTGCCTCTTTTACCTCCGTTTGCTCTTTATCCCCGAAATATAAACTTCCTAGTCTTCCTGGCCGTTTTCCTTCCTTCTCGCTCGTGTTGGTAATTGTAATTGAAATTTGGCGTTGAAGCGAGTAAATGCTCGCTCTCTATGCACACTTCCCCTCTCGCTCCCACTGGCCGTTGCCATCTCACTCGCACCCCGGCTTGCATTTTTATTACAGTTGCCGCTTTTTGGCCAAAAGTTGTTTTGGCCTTTCGCTCCGCTCTTCCTGTTTGTTGGTGTGGGTCATGGCTGCCGCGTCATGCTACGGTTCCTCTTAACTCCGCTTTGTTTTTGCCTTATTTCTTTTTATGCTTCTCTGGGCTTTTTTATTTGGTTTTCGGGTACGTTGACTGCTCCTTTTTATGGCCGAGTCTGGGTCTGGGTCTGGCTTTTTTTCTGGGCCTGGGACAGCCGCACTTGCCGTGTTTTGACTGGCCTTTTGTCGCTGCTCGGCTGTTGGCTGCAGGCACAAAATTGTGCAATATTTTTGTCGCCAATTAAATCATAAAACGGATGACGTGTATCTCTTTTTAGTGTTTTTAATTTCGGAATTTTATTGATATCTTTAGGTCAAATAAATAGAATGTTCCAAATTTTTTTTTATAAATTTAAAATAACACTTAAAACAAAATATTGTATATTTTTAGATAAATAATATTTTCTATTTTAATTTTTGATTTAGAACCCCATAAAATCGATCAGTGTTTTTCAAACTAATAGTCACCATATAAATCTCTACTGATCGATGGACCCCAAGGGCTTTGGATTTGGTAGCTGAGCTTACCTCAACCTGTTCCCTTGACGTTTTTTTTTTTGCAGTTTTTTCCATCTTTCTTAGCCGCCTTGGACTCCTCTTTTGGCCTGTTGTGACAGCAGAAGAAGAGTATCTTCGGCTGCGATTTGTATCTGCACACTCGTATCTCTTATTGGCTGCTGTTTATTTGCTCGCTGCGTTCGCTTATTGAGTTTGCCTTTGCTTTATGTCTGGGCGCAGGCGAAGGCGTTCAATGAACTCGGAAACTCTGCGACTGAAACTCTGAGACAAGACTCTGTAGACAATCGCTGGCAAACTTTTTCCCTTCCTGCAACTTGCCTTCGCTTTTGGAATTTGTCGCGAATTATTGGCCGGATGGTCAATGGTTTATTGCAATGGAATGAGCAAGTTTATTGGGCTTAACTTTTTTTATTTGGTTGTAACAATTTCAATTCGATGTTAAAACGTAACGCCAACGAAACAACTTCTATAAAATAAGTATATTTTATTTGTCCCTTTCCAATATCTAGTATTAATAAAATTTAAAATTTGTACATCGATACCAATAAATTCAAAAAAAAATTGTATTTAATTGTGTTCAGAAGTGCCTTATCATTTTTCTTAGTGCAAGATTAAGCACCTAATTGAAACCGAATGAAATCTCCAGATATTGGCCAAAAAAGTTCACAAAAAGGGAAGAAAGAAGCCGTGGAGTAAGGGACCCCGGAGATATTGAAATAACTTTCGGGAGCAACAATGGAGGCGGAAGATAAGCGGCAAAGTATTCCTTCCTTGATATAATTTCGCACTGGGAAACGAGTGCGAGCGGGACCGGCGAAGCGGAGCGGAGCGAAGAGAAAGAGAGGGCGCACGTGAGCGGCCAGACAGCAGGATGCC